ATTGCTTGACTCACTTGTGTTGCTTCTGTCCCCTAGTCTTCAACGCTGTGTACAACAGTGATGATAATGTGTTTGTCGGAGCTCCCACCGGCAGTGGAAAAACCATCTGTGCAGAGTTTGCTATTTTGAGGATGCTGCTGCACAATGCAGAAGGTCGCTGTGTCTACATCACCCCCATGGAACCACTGGCTGAACAGGTATGAAGTCATATAGAAGTTTGAAGTGTGCCTGTCATAACTAGGGCCACCCCCTCAAAGTCGACTAGTCGTATCATTAGTGGAGAGACCTGTCAGTTGACTGAGACTCTTCTAGTGGAACCTTTCTTTTTATTTTATTATAATTTATTTTTTGTCAGCCAGTGTGGATTACAATAGAAGGTAATCACAGCCCCTGCCGGTTCGTCATCTACTTCTCATGTCAGTGTGCCAAGTAGTAACTTGCTCCATACTCCCCCCTGTGGTCAGGGGGAATACCCACTTCAACAGTGTCGCTGCCTGATGCATGGCTGTGTAAGGTTTTTGGCAAAATTGTCATAATTGTATAAATTCAGAGGTGTCTCTATAGCTTTGTCTTCCCCACCTACGTACACAGTGTCAGAATAATAGGAACACCTCTGAATATAATGTAGTCCAGTACAACACCACCTTTAACTATGACCTCAATAATAAACATATAATTGAATTTATACAACTGACAATTTCAACAAAAACTGAAACACTGAGCTTCATAAACAAAAATGTTAAGGTGGACGTGTTGTTTTAAATTCCATACAAGTATACAGGTGTACCTAATTAAGCGGCCGGTTAGTGTATATCCTTATTCTTTACAGTGCACACTGGCGTGCATCAGACATAATGTGCTGGTTAACTGATGGGAGAAGCTCAAACTTGTTGGTAAACTAGGCTATAACCATGTCTCAGAAGAAAAATTGCCTATAAGAGCAAGAACAACAAACAAGTAAAAACAAACTTCTCAACAAAATGTACACAAATGAGTGGGATAATATCTACCTAAAATGACAAAACTCACCTTTGTGCAAAATTTAATTTGCACTTTAAAGAGCCCATGGCATGTTTTTCCTTGTTTTTTTTTTTTTTTGAATTATCTACAGTGTTACAACGGTGAATTATCTGTCTTTATTGATTTTTAAATGCTGAGAAATAACAACCATTACTTGTGTTTTCCTTCTACCTTAATTTATAACTATGTTAATCTTGGTCTCTCAGGTGTTTGTCGACTGGCATCAGAAGTTCCAGGACATCCTGAACAAAAAGGTGGTGCTGCTGACAGGAGAGACTAGCACAGATCTGAAGCTCTTGGGAAAAGGTGACATTATTGTTAGTACCCCTGACAAATGGGACATTCTGTCTCGTCGTTGGAAGCAAAGGAAGAACGTCCAGAATGTCAGCCTTTTTATTGTGGACGAGGCCCACCTCATTGGAGGAGAAAATGGAGTAAGAACACAATACTGCGCACGTGTACTGTAGTCATTTGTAGACCGTGCATCTTGTAAATATCCATTGTTTCTTCTCATTAGCCTGTGTTGGAGGTCATCTGCTCCAGGATGAGGTACATCTCGTCTCAGATTGAGCGTCCAATCCGCATTGTGGCCCTCAGCTCATCTTTGTCCAATGCTAAAGATGTAGCCCACTGGCTGGGCTGCAGCACCACAGCCACGTTCAACTTCCACCCCAATGTCAGGCCTGTTCCTCTGGAGCTGCACATCCAGGTATGTAAACACTGTTAGTCAGCAGCTACAGGGACTTAGAGTTTCTAAAAATTCCTGTCAGGCTGTTAATTTTTGTGGTCTGTTTAGGGCTTCAACGTGAGTCACACTCAGACTCGTCTGCTGTCTATGGCTAAGCCAGTGTACCACGCCATCATGAAGCACTCACCCTCAAAACCAGCCGTGGTGTTTGTCCCGTCCCGCAGGCAGACTCGCCTCACAGCCATCGACATACTCACTTTCTGTGCTGCCGATGTGGTTCCTCAGAGGTCAGTCGCTACAATGAGATCCCGTCTCTAGCTGAGAAATAGACTGTTGCCCTCACATCTTGGCACTGTGGACAACAAATAAAGGTTTGTCTCTGTAGGTTCCTGCACTGCACTGAGAAAGACCTTGCTCCGTTCCTGGAGAAAATAAACGATTTAACTCTGAAGGAGACTCTGGCGAATGGTGTGGGCTACCTGCACGAAGGTCTGTCTACAACTGAACGCAGAATAGTGGAGCAGCTCTTCAACTCGGGTATGGCTCGCTCCTGCTCTGCACTTAGAGCTTGTTCTATGCAGGTTTAGGACTGAATCATCACCACCTTTGGTGTCTCCTACTTTTGCAGGTGCTGTTCAGGTGGTGGTGTCCTCTCGTTCACTCTGCTGGGGCATCAACATCTTTGCGCACCTTGTCATTGTCATGGACACCCAGTACTACAATGGCAAAATCCATGCGTAAGAGTCCCATAAGTTTGATGCTCATTAGTTTCAAAAAGCGTGTACTATACATAACCTGCATTGTTACTGCCATCCACATCCTGTTCTCCCCTTTTTCTCTCAGCTATGTGGACTACCCCATATATGATGTCCTCCAGATGGTGGGCAAGGCAAACAGACCCATGCTAGATGATGAGGGGCGCTGTGTCATTATGTGTCAAGGCTCTAAGAAGGTAGAAAGACATCTGTTGTTTCTGATTCATTCAGTGTTGAAAGCGGTGACTGTGTGACAGTAACAAAAAAACCAAACCAATCTCTTGTCTTTTCCTTGATAGGACTTCTTCAAGAAGTTCTTGTACGAGCCGCTGCCGGTGGAGTCTCACTTGGACCACTGCCTCCATGACCACTTCAACGCTGAGATTGTCACCAAGACAGTGGAAAACAAGCAGGACGCTGTGGACTACCTGACATGGACATTCCTCTACCGCCGTATGACCCAGAACCCCAACTACTACAACCTGCAAGGTGAGTCTCCTCTGTTGGAACAGTATTAAAAGAAAGAATAAAGATAGTGTTGGGAACAACTTACAAATCAAGTTGTGTGTTTCCTTTGTCAGGCATGTCCCATCGTCACCTGTCAGACCACCTGTCTGAGCTGGTGGAAAACACTTTACATGACCTCGAGCAGTCCAAGTGCATCAGCATAGAGGATGAGATGGATGTGGCACCACTCAATTTGGGCATGATTGCTGCCTACTACTACATCAACTACACCACTATCGGTTTGTGACAACACAACCATCACACTTACTGAAAATCTTTTTACTGTTGCCTGACTGGTCAGAGATCCTTCACGTACGAAACCATGTGTTGAATTCAGAGATAACTGAGTCGCCCTACCATTGTGTTTGACAGAGTTATTCAGCATGTCCCTGAATGCCAAAACAAAGATCCGTGGGTTAATTGAGATCATCTCCAATGCTGCTGAGTACAAGAACATTCCCATCAGACACCACGAGGATGCACTTCTCCGACAGGTAAACATGCCATACCATCCAAACACATTCCTGCCAAACCAGCAAGATAAAATTTAAACTAGACATTTTTTTCAATCTCAGCTGGCACAGAAAGTGCCCCACAAACTGAACAACCCAAAGTTCAACGATCCTCATGTGAAGACAAACCTGCTGCTGCAAGCCCACCTCTCCAGGATGCAGCTGAGCGCTGAGCTGCAGTCAGACACCGAGGAGATCCTGAGCAAGGTGCGGATAAATGGAGATTTTGCCACTAAGTGGGAATAAGCCTTAGACGGTCATAAACACACAGCTTTGTTGTGTTTTTAGGCGATCCGTCTGATCCAGGCCTGCGTCGATGTGCTGTCCAGTAACGGCTGGCTGAGTCCTGCACTGGCAGCTATGGAGCTGGCACAGATGGTCACCCAGGCCATGTGGTCCAAGGACTCGTACCTCAAACAGCTGCCCTTCTTCACCTCAGAGCACATTAAACGATGCACAGAAAAGGTACATCAGCATTTTCTTATTCTATTCGGTTGTTCTATTAAATATGCTTCAAGAAATCGTAACTTTTGCTTTACAACTAGTGTAACTGGATCATATCTGGCCACTTTTTCATCAGGGTGTGGAGAGTATCTTTGACATCATGGAGATGGAGGATGAAGACAGAACTGCGTTGCTGCAGCTCTCAGACGCCCAGATGGCCGATGTGGCTCGCTTCTGTAACCGCTACCCCAACATCGAGCTGTCATACGAAGTGGCAGAGAAGGACAACATCAAGAGGTACGTATGGATCTTCTCAGCACTGTTTGCAGTAATTTAATAAAGGAATACGTTGATTATATTACAGAGGTGAAAATGCCTATGTCAAATAGCTGCCCTGACAAAAAGAAATTAAATTATGATTTATTAGTCTTGTACAAAATTCTGTGTATTTGTAGTCAACTAGATATGCTAATGGTTAACACGTTTGTGTTCACAGTGCCAGTCCGGTTCTGGTTCAGGTACAGCTGGAGAGGGAGGAGGAGGTGACTGGGCCCGTCATCGCACCTCTCTTCCCCCAGGTAAATGCCAAGCAAGTATTGCATTTTCATCTTGTACTTTTATATATTTGCCATTAAAATCTGACCTATAAATTATCACTCTCGCAGAAACGTGAGGAGGGCTGGTGGGTGGTGATCGGCGACCCCAAGTCTAACAGCCTCATATCTATTAAGAGGTTGACTCTTCAGCAGAAAGCAAAGGTCAGTCGCTGTATATACTCAATGGCCAAAATGCTCTTTAAACCAACAGGGGTCTAGTTTTGTTTATCGGTTGTGCTCCTCCCCCCGCAGGTCAAGCTGGACTTTGTTGCACCAGCGATGGGCATTCACAATTACACCCTGTACTTCATGAGCGATGCGTACATGGGGTGTGACCAGGAGTACAAGTTCAGCGTGGATGTGAAGGAGGCTGACAGCGATGGAGACAGTGACTCAGACTAATCATTATCTTGACTATAGCAGCCTCCAGCATTTTGGTCAAATTGAGGGGTTAGTGTTCTGCCTTTTTTTTTTTTTAATTCTGTAGATATTGAACCCACTTAATGTCGCTTGACCTTCTCTGTGTCTCATTCACCCTCTGTGCTCTTGTCAGTTTATTCACTGTTGTTTCTCAGTTAAAAATCAGCTGAATGATGTACAGGATCTGTTTACAGTTAATTAGATATGTATTACAGATGTATAGCAAACTCCATTCACAGTTGTGATGAACAACTTATTCCTCAATTTTAAATTTGAGCTCATTAAATAGATGAAACTTAATGATCTACCATCAGTTTTCAGGTTTGCTTGAAATTTAATAATTTTAGAAAAAAAAAAAAACACACTAAGCTGGTTGAGAAGGCTACACTGTTATTCCAAAGTGTGTGTTTAAATAGAACTGTCCAGTTATATTTGATTTTTAGTACGATGTGCTGTTGGGAATATTTTTTGCAATAAAGATGAGCCCAAGTGTTTCTATTTGGTTTTATATTTCTGTACACAGCCTGACAAAGTATAAGAAGTGCAGAAGCGTCATAATCAGAATTCTGCTGAGCTATCACATAAGCTGTAAAAGTTGAACAAACAATTACGTGGTGATCTCAGAACCACACAGTTCCCAGTGTAACTTGCAGTCACTGCCTTTGTTCAGTAACAGACCAATTAGGTAGAGTCTTCCTGGATCCTCCATAAGGCGATCTCTCCATTATCACTGCAGGAGGCCAGGAGGCCCGGCTCTTGTGGGTTCCAGGCCACACAGTTGACATCCTGGCTATGAGCTTTGGTCACCTGAGCAGCTAGCGAAAACACCAGCTGGTCTGGATTGGCCGACTCATCCTCCTTAAACACTCTCACTGCGTCGTCACCGCAGGCGGTTGCCAGGGCCCCGGTCAGCGGACACCTGGATGCAGATACACACAAATCTCAGTTCAATCCAGCAAGATAACAGATTCATCTGCATTTGGCAAATCAAAATGGCATCATTATATTGAGCTGGGATTCAATCGCCACCTTTTTCTTAAGTTGAACCAGATTCCACATAAATATACAACATTCCATAATGCCGAGGTGAAATTTTGGAACTGTTGCACCACAATGATATGATAACCTAAATGAACCTGCAGACTGAGCTGCAGATCCCACCAAACACAGTAAAAACAGGGCAATATAATGTATAGGAAAGAAATAGTCCTACCAGGCGACATCATACACTGTTCGTCCATGGTACCCAGACAGAGTGCAAACACACTTCCACAGCAAGTCTCCTGTTTAACAAGCAGAGCAAGGGGAAAAGAAAAATCAGATAAAATCTGCCACCCATGTCAGTCCACTTTCTACAGTACTGTCATATCTTTTATGGGCTTTGAAAAAAATAATACATTTAGGTTTGTATAAACCTGAACAATTTAATCACTAACAAACTTAACAGCAAATGATTTGTCATAAAAAAACAACCTAAGGTTGACAAAAATATTTACAGCAGCAGCTCTTTCACTGATGAACACTTGCTCTTTTGCAAACTAGACATTTTCCTGTTAATTTGTGGAATCTGATGATGAACATGTACAGTACTACCTGAGACCTGTCAGATATTTCAGAACACTGTTAAAGGTGCCATGTTGTGTAAACTGATTCAAGTATGTATATGACTGATATTAAATGATGTCTCCTCCTCTACCCCTTAGTCCTAAAGCACCAACTCTGATCTTTGCCTGCTTAAGTGCTTCTTGTTGGTAAGAGTACTTACTCTGACATGAGATTATATCCAATTTAGTCACTGAGTGGATAAAACAGTTTCATAATGATTTGATTTACAATGAGAATATAGGCTATATAAAATGGACAACATGTCACCACTTTATACAAGCGCATAAAGGCCAATGACGATCCTGAATTGGTATGCTCCTTGCTCGGTAGTAACAGATACCATTTCACAACCGCAGATGCTGCTTCAGTGTAACATGCCCTAGCAAATTTGGCATAAATAAATGCATGTGAAGTTATTATTCATTTTTGATCAGTTGTTAGATCATGTGCTTTTGTAACACTGACCGTAAAGTAATTTAAAATGTCTCTCTATGTTTATTAGGCTATCACAATAAATGCAAGCAGCCCTCCATCTAGCATGCTGCTAACGCCACACACTTAACATCACCATGGAAATGCTGATTTAATTGGCATCTGCATTATTCTATTGACATGGCACTGCTAGTCTTGTGTTTATTGTGATAGCTTAATAAACAATATGCAACTCTTCACTGATGTTTCCTTAATATTATGTGAACCAACGCATGATTGTGTTGCACAAATAATTTTAAACATACCAAATCATTGCAAATGCAACTCTTTGCCCAGGTAGATTGATTCTTCCATCATCGATTACTCAGACTGGCTAGGTTGGCTGGGCTAAAATATTAAATAAGGTGTCTTCTATTGTTTGCTTTGGTTGCATAGCAGAGATATTTTAAACTACTTTTCAGTCAGTGTTACAAAAGCACTGCACACAATCTAACAACTGATCAAAAAGAATAACTTCATGTTCATTTATTGATGGCACATTTGCTATGATGTTACACTAAAGTGGTATCTGTCACTGGAAAACGAGTGGCATACTACTTCAGCATCACCATGTGCCTTTACAGAATTGCCATGTGCCACTAAGATAAAAGTGACACGCCAAATGACACTTTCCAATCTCAGCACAACTGGCTGTATCAGGTCGCCAATCAAAGTTGTCAATCATCCAAAATACAGCCCTTTTTTAAATCACCTGATAACTTATTAAAAACAAACTTATCAGGAAAATGTACACAAATGAGTGTGATAATATCTACCTAAAATGACAAAACTCACCCTTGTGCAAAATTTAATTTGCACTTTAAAGAGCCCATGGCATGTTTTTCCTTATTTTTTTTAATTATCTACAGTGTTACAATGGTGAATTATCATCTTAGATGTGACCTAATGCTCAACAAATGAGGTGTACATACTGTATGTTCTAGTACTTCTATGCAGAAGCAACTCGTTTTTTTTTTCTAAAATAAAGTATTATGTGATAGTTTATGGATTTCTGTGAATGGGTATAAAATCCAGGCCGTTGCGCGTTCATGTGAGCTTGCCTGACATCCACCAGTGCCCCACCATATTGATAAAGTGTTATAGTGCCTTGTTTTTTATGTATATTTTCATAAAAGTTTAAAAAAAAAAAAAAAAAAAAAAAAAGAGAAAGCCATCCACCGGTGCCATTGTAAAAGCGGAATTTTTCGACTGCGCCCATTTGGTGGATATATTTTCCCTCTTGCTGCTGCACTGTGACCAGAGGATGTGGAGAAAAATACAGAGCCTGAGGTTACTGCACGTCTGGGAATGTTCCTGTACAGGGACTCATTGTTTTACCTGACCAGGTTTAACCTACAAGCAATGCGGCCTGTGAAGATCCCGGTGGCGGTGACTAATTAGCTCATCGATGCTGGATTTCCCCAGAGCACAGTACCTGTTTGTTTTGACTGCTTGAGGCCAGTGTGTCTGCCACATGTGATGTGTTACTGGTTAAGGAGCAGATTAACAATCCATGATGTCATTGTCGGTGCTACACTACCTGTTGGAATTAATTTCACTGCTTTGGGACTATATGTGGTCGTGTGGGGGAAGATGCAGCGACCACCAGTTGGAGCTACTTGAAAGGGAATGATGTTTCTACTACTGGGTGGGACTTAAAGGTAAGTTTAAAAAAAACATGTTACATGTCTGTTAATGCCTTATTTCTGTAACGTTAGAGAGAATTGTTGTGAGGCTGGGGAAGTTACTGCGTCTGCATTATGCCAGTTAAAATATGGGCTTTCTCAATTGCCTGCTTTGTTTAGAGTGTTACAAATCTCTTGTAATCAATGTGACACAACATCAGCAACAGGAGTTGTGCATGTTCACAAACTATACTCTCCTTTTTTAGGAAGAGGCTCTCTGGTTTTATAGTTTTGAAATAATTAGACAATTTGGAGTTATGAGGGGTGCCAAGCTTACAGTCTTATGCAAAAGTTTAGGCACCCCTTGATAAATAACAGATTTTGGTGATTTTTTATTTGAACAGATGTTAACACAGTTTCTCTTGGAAATGGAAAAAATGCACAATATTTTCTGCAAACAGTGATGCATAGTTACTTCTTATGCCATAAATTGAACAAAAATAAAAAATAAAAACATTATTATGGCATGGTGCAAAAGTTTGGGCACCCTACACAATCAGTACTTAGTAACACCTCCTCTGGCAGATATCACAGCTTGCAAACGCTTTTCATAGCCAGCTAAAAGTCTTTCAATTCTTGTACTTGGGATCTTCTCCCATTCTTCCTTGCAAAAGGCTTCTAGTTCTGTAATATTCTTTGGTCGTCTTGCATGCACAGCTCTTTTAAGATCTACCCACAAATTTTCAATGATGTTTAAATCAGGGGACTGTGATGGCCATTCCAAAACCTTCAGCCTGCGTCTCTTGAGGTATTCCATAGTGGATTTCGAGGTATGTTTAGGATCATTGTCCTGTTGTAGAAGCCATCCTCTTTTCAGCTTCAGCTTTTTTACAGATGGTGTGATGTTTGCTTCCAGAATTTGCTGGTATTTAGTGGAATCCATTCTTCCCTCCACCCGTGCAATGTTTCCTGTGCCACTGGCTGCAACACAACCCCAGAGCATGATAGATCCACCCCCATGCTTAATAGTTGGCAAGGTGTTCTTTTCATGAAATGCTGCTCCTTTTTTTCTCCAAACATGCCTTTGCTGATTGTGTCCAAAGAGTTCTATTTTAACTTCATCAGTCCACAGCACTTGTTTCCAAAACGCATCGGGCTTCTGTAGATGTCCTGTTGCATACTTCAGACGTTGGATTTTATGATGGGGACGCAGATAAGGTTTTCTTCTGCTGACTCTTCCATGAAGGCCTTGTCTGTGCAAGCATCGCTGCACAGTGGAACGGTGCACCACCACTCCTGAGTCTGCTAAATCTTCCTGCAGGTTTTTTGCAGTCAAATGGGGGTTTTGATTTGTCTTTCTGACCAGCATACGAGCAGTTCTGTCCGAGAGTTTTCTTGGTCTTCCAGATCTCATCTTGACCTCCACAGTTCCCCTGATCTGCCATCTCTTAATTACATTTCTTACTGTGGAAACTGCAAGCTGACAACGCTTTGCTATCTTCTTGTAGCCTTCTCCTGCATTGTGGGCATCAATAACTTTCATTTTCAGGGTCTTACACAGCTGCTTAGAGGAACCCATGGTTGCTGGGTGTCCACAAGTGTGTGCACAAGGTTTGAAGAGTCAAAGTATTTGTACAGCTTTGAAATTGGCATTTACCAATGACAGCTGTTGCTGTGCATCAGATCTAACGAGCTGATTAAGGTCTGATACCTTGTGAGAGACTTTGAGACTCTGGAACTCTTAGGGTGCCCAAACTTTTGCACCATGCCATAATAATGTTTTTATTTTTTATTTTTGTTCAATTTATGGCATAAGAAGTAACTATGCATCACTGTTTGCAGAAAATATTGTGCATTTTTTCCATTTCCAAGAGAAACTGTGTTAACATCTGTTCAAATAAAAAATCACCAAAATCTGTTATTTATCAAGGGGTGCCTAAACTTTTGCATAAGACTGTATCTAGAGGTGCCCAAGATTGAATATTAAATGGCTGGAAACAAGTAAAATGAGCATGCCATGGCCACTTAAAATTTTTATTTTGGCTCATGTACGATTTGGTAACATTTTTTTGATTTATACTGCAATAAGCCTCCTGGAGGTGATCGACTCGAAGCAGCTTCACTTTTGGGAGCTGTCAAGTTGTCCATTCTTATATACAGTCTATGGGTGAGACCAACCCCTAATAACTCACCCTCTCCACTTTCATTTGGATACTCCTTCCAAATCTTCACAGTGCGGTCATCACTGCAGGAGGCCAGTCTCTGTCCAGTCCCATCAAAGGACAAACTCCAGACTGTGGATGTGTGTCCTTGCAAGGTGGCCCGGCACTCCCAGTCATCATCCTCGTCTTTGTAAATACAAATGTTGTTGTCATAGCTGGCTGAAGCCAGGAGCTGTAGACACACATGGTAAATACATAACATAACTATGTGACAACTGAGAAATCATTCAGGTGGAGAGGGCAGAGTGTGACCAACCTCCTGTGTCGGGTGCCACACAACATGCTTGACATCTTGTGTGTGAGAGTTCACAACAGTAACACACTCATACTCGTCTTCTTCATCCACTGTGAGACACAAATGGAAAGAGATCAGTTTTATGAACAAGCTGAGAGGTGCAGATCAATACATATGCCGAGGTCCTAATATGAACTAGATTAATGCCATGCCTCTGAGGCGGTGACACACTCTAGTTTAACACAAACCTTCCCAGACCCAGACACTCTTGTCTCGACTACATGTTGCTAGCAGATTTCCTGAAGGGGCCCATGCCACGCATTTGACTTCATTTTCATGTCCTTCCAACACAGTCAAGCTCTAGAAAAAGGTAAGGCTCAAAGTAAAAATCTACAAGGGTAAAAGTATTTTCAAAGAGCAGAGTAAACATGTCATCTTACCTCAAAGTCATCATTCTTCTTTTTCCAGATACATGTGGTTGCATCAAAGCTTGCAGAGGCCAAATAATTCCCACAGGGAGACCACGCCACCTTCCTCACAGTGCGCTGGTGCTGGTGAAGGACACTCTTACATATCCAAGAATCCCCTAAAAACAGAAAAAATTAAAAAGGTGTCAGCCATCAGAGATGTCACTGTTTTATAGAGAATCAGTGATCTCCTTAAATTTCTCTTAATCATCATTGAGGACAGTTTTACAAATGAGATCAAGACTCCTTTGATAACAATATGGATATATGTTTTTTGCATCAGTGTGATGTGTCTTTCTTATATTTAATTAACTGTATTAGCAAAACAGTACATTATATGTGGATATTTTATCTAAGAAATTGTTTCTCTGTTTTATACACAGATCATGACAATAAAATCCTCTACCAGCCACATGTAACTTGTACCAGTGACAAGTAATTTAACTTAGATGTATAAGTTGTATGATTTTATTTCTGCCAAAGACAAACAAAACATACTCAAAAGAGGGTATTAACTCTATAACAACAAGAATAACTGTTATGACATTAACCCCAGTTCCTAAACACTGTAATGGGCAGTGGGTTTCTGTAAGGATCCAAGAAGATACAAGCCAAACGCGGATTTCCGAGCTTTTTAAAAGGACTGTGTTGGTGCATTATAATGGGATTTGAACTTTAGTCAGCAGCACATGCTAATACAGAGCTGAAGGTGTATCATCTTGGTGTGCTGAAGTTAGCTGACAGCTCACCTTCACGTCCCCATATCCGGATGGCTTTGTCACCCCCACATGAGGCAAACAATGTCCCAGTCGGGTTCCAGCTGACGAACCAGCAGCGAGAGTCCGGGTGTGCGCTCAGTCTCTGGACCAGGGACAAAGCCTCCTTCATTTCTGAGCTGGTTTATTATTTAGACACCGTTGAACCGTCTCTCCCGCCTCCTTCCGCTACCTGACCCCAGATATAACGTTGCCAATTCACAAACACCACAACGCAAAGTGAAAACCCGCACAAATAAGCATTACTCTCGTGCTAAACGACAATCATGTGTCAACCAGAAAAGGAACTGAATTAAACGGGAATGTTTAGAACAGAAGACAAAGTACAAAAGTTCACAAACACAACCATTCAGGAAATACCGCCATCTTAGTTTATCAGGTATGCATTGTGGACATCTTCTTCTTGTAGTTTATTGGCGCTACGGATTCCATCTTAAGGTGCATTACCGCCACCTACTGAACTGATATGTGTATCAACCATTGAGCCGGACATTGTGGGCTTTCTTCTTCTTTGGTGGTTAAGGGCAGGCAGCTCCTTTTGTTGGATTGCTGCCACCTTCTGACTTAGTCCATTACAGCGCTATAATCCTTTTAATTAAACCCGTATGCTCATCCTTTCAGTTCTTTCTGGCTCGCTTACTCGTTAGGTCTACAGCTCATAGTCCTGTGTAAACACCTGCAAGGATATACACAGTGGTCAAAAGTAACTAAGTATATTTACTCAAGTACTGTACTTAAGTACAATTTCAAGATTAAGAATCTTTATTGTCATTATGCATAGCATAATGAATTTTTTCCGGCAGCTCTTGTCTTAAACGACACATAACACACAGTTGTCAATATAAAACAATGAGCAAATAAAAAGGGATGTATGGGACCTAATCAGGTCAGTAGTATGTTAGCAGCAAAAAAGTGTAGTAACATTATGAGGTGCAGCTCAGTGCAAATCTCAGTCTTTAGGAAGAGGCATGGGTGCGTGTCTGCACCGGTCCAGTGTTCTGTCTGTGTCTGTCCATAGGGGGAGGTTGTGTGTGTGTGTGTGTGTGTGTGTGTGTGTGTGTGTGTGTGTGTGTCTGTGTAACTAGGGGTTAGGGGGTGATTGGTTTCACAGCTCTGGGGAAGAAGCTGTGTCTCAGTCTGTTTGTTTTAGTCTTTATATTCCTGTACCTTTTCCTGGAGGGAAGAGGCACAAACAGACTGTTGCCTGGGTGGGTGGGGCCTGCAGCAATCCGCAATTTGGGGGTATCTGTACTTTATCTATCCCCATATTGAACACAAGTTTCAAATTCTTGGCTAGAAACTAGCATTATGCAAACTTTTATCTATCTGCTTGTCTGCACATCTACATATCTCTCTCTCTCTTTTCTTTTTTAATCGGCTGTACCACTATTTGGGATACTGGCTTTCTGAAGTGCTTATTCAGTATGTCAAGCTTCTAATAGTACCCTAGAACCCCCAGGAATCATCCAAGTCTTAATAACATGACTGCTGGACTCATTAAATTGTTTCTACCTAATATATGTCCCTTATTATGAAAATGCACTTGGCAGCTGCTGGAGACAGTTTCTGTGTGGGTCTCGTGCTGGTCTTATTGTCAGGTATTGTCATGCACCCAATAGCAGTCTTTCTACTCATCAAGTGTGGTGCCTACCATTTGGAAGGACTGTCAGTGACTGGCTTCCAAATTTTAAAATGCTAGGACATGCCAATCTTAAATGGCCAATTTTAGCCTATGTTGGTCCATTTTACCCGATTTCACCCTATTTGTAAAAAATAAAAATCAATAATATAATATAATTGTTACCACAAAAGCGTTTAGGTCTGGTCTCAAATGCATTTTCATTTCATTTATGGGTTTATTTATTCTTTTTTCAGCCTGAATAATTACTTATTTTGTCTAAATGACAAATACTATAGCTACTGTATAATTTATCACGATTAAATATCTTGCGTTAATATTATACCGCTATATTTGCAGCTGCTGTTGTTTAGCTGTTTAGAAGAGTCTCTAGGTGGGGGCATTGTTCGTCACTGCCGCTTAGACTGCAGTTTATTGCTTCCACGAAGAAGAATGATGCGAACGAGGAAGTCAACATTTTGCAAGAAGCCAGCGTAAGATACCTTTTGTTTTGTTTTGACAGTTTTCTGGACGAGATTGCTGTTCATTTTCAACAAGATACACAGCAGGACTAATCCATAGACCTTAGTTTCTTTTATTTATTTATTTAGTTAAGTGTATTTTTGTTGACAATTGGCGACATTCGGCATTAGCTGTAAGCTAACTTCACACGCTAGTAACAGAGCTAATAGGCCTGAAGGCCATTGTGTGCGCGACGGTCAGATACTTAATCTGTTTTATCAAGCAGACAGTTTAAAGGTTAAGCTTCGTTTGTAAATATTAGATACCACAGTGAATCAGGTGCTAAGACAACCTCCGTCCGTTCGTCACCCAGGTAACGGTAACTGTACGGGCTCACCGGTTCTGTTCTGGTTGGTTAGTTGGGTGACTTTATCGTTATCATATCGCTCAGTCCCAAATACTGACAGTAAAGGGAAACCGCCACTTCAACCAACGATCAGGAGGTTGGATCACCATGTATGCCCCACCGGGTTCTACTGTTCCTGGAGGCCGGAGGAGGAGAGGGGGCACCTCGCTGCCCAAGCAGCCGGAGCGGAGCCTGGTGTCGGCGCTCCCCGGAGCTCTGTCCATCACAGCGCTTTGTACAGCTCTAGCGGAACCGGCCTGGCTCCGGGTTCATGGAGGCACCTGTCCGAGACAAGAGCTTGGAGTGGCAGATGTCCTGGGTTACACTGACCCCAAGCTTCTGGACGGTGAGGGCCCACACAAATCGATGAAATCCTGCAGCAGAGATGAATCTGCTGGCTCATCTTTAATGCTTTTTGATGTCTCCGTGTCTTTCAGATTTTTGTATGAACCCACAGACCATCTTGCTGCTGAGGGTGATTGCTGCCTTCTGTTTCCTGGGCATCATGTGCAGTCTGACTGCTTTCCTCTTGGATGTGTTTGGGCCCAAGCACCCTGCTCTGAAGATCACACGCAGATATGCGTTTGCACATATTCTCACAGGTATACATCTGTCATACTGAAATTATTTCCAGGTCTTTTTTAAGAAAAATCTGTTTGTCTTTTTTGTCTATTTAATAGTTTTTTTCCCTCTTCTCAGTGTTACAGTGTGCCACAGTGATAGGCTTCTGCTACTGGGCCTCAGAGCTCATCTTGTCACTACAGCAGCAACACAAAAAGTACCATGGCTCTCTCATATACGTCACTTTCGCCATCAGCTTTTATCTGGTGGCAGGTGCGGGTGGAGCTTCTATCCTTGCCACAGCTGCAAATCTCCTGCGCCACTACCCCACCGAGGAGGAGGAGCAGGCTTTAGAGCTGCTCTCTGAGATGGAGGACAGCAGTGAAACCTTTCCAGCTGATTATGATATTGCCAATCAGTTTCAGCCACCACCTGCCTACACGCCCTAATACCACCAGCTTCTCTGTCAGCACAGCTACTGGCTTGATGAGCAATCCTCACTCTTTATCAAATGGATTTCTTTGCAAATGCTCTCTAGAATGAACACAGTATGTGCACAGACTCCTTGACTGACAGTGCTTAGGTGCATGAAAGCTTTCTTTAGTGGTGGCAGAAATTTAGGAGATGATTCTTACTTTCACCACTGAAGTTGTTAGTGATTTGCATGTAAATGGCTTTTAGGGTTTGGTCCTTACATGTAAAGCAAACTTAAGTGCAAGGAGTGGTCCACACAGTTCATTAGAAGTGACCGATGAATCAGCCACAGCCCGTTCTAAAGCAGACATTGAAGCTGGGCTGTCGGCAGGTTGTCAGCAGTTGTGTTGCTCTTGGTTGGATGCAGATGGAGCTTTGTTAAGCAGCATTTGGATTTGATTTTTAATATGCTTGCCACATGTATGTTTTTATTGTAAACAAGTACAGAAATACACTGAAGAAATAAATAGTTTGACAATTTTGAAAATAAAAGATCAAATGGACCTTATTTATTATTTAGCTGTCTGTGCTCTCTTACTTTTCTTCTTCTGCTTTGTAGACATCTGTCACTGGTTTAGTCTTATTTAACCACTACCTGTACTTGAAATAACACAAAAATTGTCAAATGTAAGACAGGTCTTTGTGGTGTTTTTAAAAAAGGATTATGGCATGTGTATGTGCTGAGAGCTTAGAAATCACATAGAAATGGCGAAACATGGGTGACATTTGGTTACAGAAACGTCCCATGTAAGTTGGTTGTGTCATGTTTCTTGTGTTTGATTTTACAAAACAAACTTCATTTGTACTTTATGATTACCATGTGTGACCATTTCAGTATGTAATTTCTATGCATGAGTTCTTTTGTGTCTAACTTTTAAACCTCCAGGCTGAATCTGATGAGATGATCTCAGATAAAGCTCCAGTTGAGGTTTAAAACTGATTGATGTGGTGATTCTTGTTGGCTGTATATTGTTCTGTTTACACAATGATTTTTTTGTTGCATTTTGTTCCTGAAGTTGTCACAATACTTTCCTCACTAGTATGTAAATATTGTTTCTACATGAAAAAGTCATAATAAATTAAATGCCAAATTTTGCCTCACATTTGTCATCTGTAACTTGTCACTGAATCCTGGGTTCTTTACTAATTGTAGCTGTCTTCCACCATATGCAGCCTGAAGGTAGGAGTTGTAGTTTTGATTGAACAGTATATTGACTGTGACATTTCCATCTGACCAGGGGTTTACTGTCTAGACATTCGGCGTGGCATTACAGAGAGTAAGAGCCTTACAACTTAATAAGACTTTAAAGGGCATACACTATGCCTTGTACCGAATATCCACGACTACCTTGTAAACAATATAGTAACATTTTCAAAACTGCACATGGATGCAGTGTTGTGAAAAAGTCAGTCAACTAGTCTATTGTATAAAACCATATTTTAAATCATTTTTTAAATGATAATTTCTACGGTTTACTCCAATTCCATAAAGAACATTAAAGAGTTAAACTTTAAATGGGTCAAGATATTTTATGGGTTAAAGCACTACATGTTTAGATTACTTTCCAAAGCTGAAGTGTCACTTTGTGTCCAAATGACTTAAGTTAATCAGATGAATAAACAAGGCACTAATAGGGAAAGGTGTTCAGGAGGGGGATAGGTCAGTCAAGGCAGGAGTGATTGAGCTTCTCAGAAAATAGAGCTTATGGGGTAACGTCACTTAGCCACCCTCTGGGGGTATATATATGGACAGCCACAGCAAGATCAATATTACAACCATCAAAGACTTTACAAGCCTGGTGGCAACACTTTTAGGTCATATCTTCCTCCTCAAACAGTGAGATTAAAGCAAAATCATGCTGGCAACCAGGGCTTTGCTGTCCAAACAAACACTGGCTGTTCTTTCTCGCCAGCCTGCCTGCTTTGTTCATCATGGTGACTATGGCAACTGGGGAAATACCAATATCGCAGTGGTAAGTGAAACAAAAGAATACAAGGTCAGGGAAAATTATAAGTGTGGGTGTTAGTGTGATTTGCGACTCAGATTTGGTTTGTGAATCACAATGTGTTCCAGGTTTTCTCAGGATGTGGCTGGTGGGATGGGACTGATGTGCACGAGGGAGTGTAGTGAGTATCACTCAGGGCAGGAATGTCTCACCACTGCATTAACATGTCACAGTGGCAAAGACGGTAATTCACAACTCTTATCTTCAGCACCATGTACCACCTGAGCCGGAATGGCGCTCGCTTCCAGATGTTTGCTCCAAATCAACAGCAGATGCAAGTGATGGACCACATGAGGAAGCAGCCTGCCTCTGGCGAGAACCGGTAGGCTTGTCACGAAACACTGATGCACTTTCATGTGTGCTGGGCTCATAGCAGGGTCCAGTATGTTTCTACACCTGACTTGGCTAATTCCACAAGGTCGTATTTATGATGATTTCTGGCCATTACATAGGAACATGATGATGGAGTCAGCTCGCTTCAGTCACGATCAGGGAATGATGCAAATGCAGGACCTGTCCAAGCTGGATGTCAACAATTTTGACGGTGTCATCTTTCCTGGAGGCCATGGCATCACCAAGAACCTGTGAGAAACACTGAAATATAAAGGGATCACTTTGAGACAGTGTAAAATAGAATGAGATCAGATATAATGCAAGCTGGCACGATGAAGATGGATCACTAATATTAGTATTTAATTCTCATCTCTTTAGATCATCTTTTGTGAAAGAGGGCAAAGACTGCAAGCTGCATAATGATGTTGAAAGGGTGCTTAAAGATTTCCACCGTTCACACAAGCCTATTGGGTATGTACCATTTGATCTATTAGTTCTGAAGTAGCAATACTGTATAACTCTACTTATATAAAATCAAAGGTTTTAAGTATTATGGGAGTCGTGTGACATTGTGTCTTTTTTTGGACTGTACAATCACTTAAACATGAGGCAACACTGCATACTGTCACTGATATGCACCACACTTTAAATGAGATTACTTCAAATGACATTAGACTAGATAAACACAGGAGATTTAAACGATCCCTGTAGTGGAATTGGGACACTGGAGCAGCTGTAGAAAGCAACATGTCAGACAGTGAGGTGTTTATCGATTAATAAAACTGCATTTTGCATCAAATGTTGCAGACCATGTTATGAAGTTTGGATAAAATCTGTCCTATTACTGACAGGAGCAGGCTGCAATAGGTGTTCTTCCTGTAGTATAATCTAAATTTTATTTAATTTGGTACAGTACAATGTTTCCAAGAGACTACATTTTACTTTTGCCACATATACTAAAAATGATCTAAATTTATTATACCAATGTTGAAGATATGTTTTTGTGAACAAAGCTGTAAAAACTCTCAACACCTTATTGCTTATATATAGAAATTTGTGTTTATGTTGTACAATAGTAAAACTATGTAAAATGGACTAAGAGAAAAAATATTCACAGCAGGGAATAAAATAAAATTTTCACAGAGTCAAATAACTGGGGGGGAAAGCAAGGAAAGAAATAAGGAAGCAGTAAAAAAAAAAAAAATCGCTTGCAATGCAAGTTGATACATCATTTAAGCTGCTGGAGAAAATCTCCATTTTAACTCTCACTGACCCCAGAAAACATTATAGGTAGACATCATAGTAAAAGTCTCTGAAGAGAGAACACTTACAACATGAAAGCAGTCTGAAGCAGAGGTAAAGGAGACAGGACAGAAAGAAGGCCCCAGCTCTGAGGCAACATATGAGAACTGATAGAAAGCTCCTGTTTGTTGGCACACGGGGACAGACAGGGTGATGAGGGGCAGCTGTGCTGACAGGCGTCAAGGTCAGGTGTGGGGCACCTGGGGCCAGGTGCAGAATGGCACGTCTGAGAAAATGGGGCATTTAGGATTATAGGACTTAAGGAACAGAGTTGGAGGCAGAGGAGGAGGAAGAAGAGGATGAAGCAGCTGTTGCCATGACAACACAGGGCTATATGACCTAGACCCGGCCATCATTTAAAGTACATATAATACCAGAGTAATCCCTTCTTATTCCCATGACTGCCTGTAAAGACTCTAAGGCAACACAAGTGATGACAAGGGCAAGAAAAAAGTCAGCAAAGTGGGCTTGCTGAGCAGTATGGCTTTCGCATGTTGCTGTTTCAGGTACATCTGCTCTTCCTCCATTACTCTATGTTGTCAGAGCTGTAATTGGTGTCTTGATGTGTCGACAAAACCTTGTGTTTTGTTACATATCATAAATGTTTTAGTCCAGTTTAATTTAGAAATGTAAAAGTTAGAATGAAAATCAACTGGATGCGCCCTTATCTCAAAATCAGTAGTTTTGTTAATTAAGATTCAGCTTGAATAAGAAGGTTTCCACTTGAACCTTGACAGGATATCAAATTTAATTTAGCGGGCGTTCACTGTAATCATTCATGTGCTATCATCACCTAGTCTACTTTGTTTTGAATCATTTTTGAGTTGCCCTTTGCAGCATCCAACACTGAGGTATGCTGGTTTATAGTGTTTTAGAGGCAGATATCACGGTGTGCCTGTATGGCACTGGAAAGATTCATTTTATTTCTAGTTGATGGAGTCCAATGGGAGGAGATGTTCAGTATCTCAGGCAGACAATGTAAACTGCTCTACCTGAACTTAACTTACTGTGGTCATAGATCTACTTGATGCATTAGCTTTACTAACTGTGCCAGTGGCCTATTTACAGAAAATATAATGGAGAAATAGGGTGGAGTGCCTTTTTATGAGCAGCCTTTACTACTCATGTGGCGTACACAGACAACTATTTAACTGAGGTTAATGAGCTGCCCAAATTCCACTCTCATTTTCCATTTGTTCTGTCACGCTTCACTTTAGCAGTGTTGGTAAACCTATACTGCATGAACACCATCCAGAGTTTGACTAAAGCAGACCTTAAGACAGAGTTGTGCTGTGAGTGGGCTGTGGCTTTTAGAAGTACAGTCCCTTTAAAGCCTGTAAACAGCATTGACATGTATTACATGAACTCACCTACTTAGCTGTCCACTATTGGCCTTTTCCAGAGAACACATTCTGACATATCACAGTAGGAAACAAATAGGTGTAAATGATCAAATTAATGACAGCCGCTCCACTGCTTGGCTCACTGTCACACTGCCACGTCTTACTGAGACACATGAATAGAACAAAGTCAATGTTAATGATATTAGTAACACCTGAGCCTGTTGTTGAAGTGCAAAGAGCAAAATCTACACCGTTGCCTCATGTAGATTACAAGCTGTGACTGGACTGGACTGTTGTATGCACAAAATCTTCAATAAATTCCAAGTATAAGCATAAAGCAACCCCTGTTTTTCTATGACAGCATAGCCCACCCACACCATAAACACAGATATGTCTGAGTCCTAAGGAGAGGTCTCTGTGTGCATATACTTCTCAGTTTGTAGGTACAATTAGTGGAATCCTACTGACATAAACTATGCAGAAAAATTAAGTGTGTAGGATGCAACTAAAATTGCCCCATATTGCCTGCGCAGGTGTGTGTGTCTGTGTGGTACTTGATTCAAGTACAGTATGTCAAGAATGTCATCTGTCCAAAACTACTGCATATTCTTCTATGGTTATAAATGATGGACAAATTGTGATAATAAGCAGCTGACAATCTGTCATCTTGCCTCAAACTCCTAGTCTGGCCAGTAATATTAAACACTGACGTTCACCTGCTGGAGAACATTTCTTTTTTTAGGCTTTGAATCTCTCCTGTCTGCTACTGGTAAGGCAATTTTCTTCACACCTGATCTGTCTTGTGTCTTAATCTGGACTTAATATAAACCTCAGCGGACTGTCTGCTCCTGTTTCAGGCTGGCCAGCATGGCTCCTGTACTGGCCTGCCGTGTGCTGCCCGGCATCGAGGTGACCATGGGCTATGAGCGAGATGAAAATACTCGCTGGGGGAACTGGCCTTACACAAACATGGTGCAGGCTGTGAAGAACATGGGTGCACACCACAATGTCCGTGAGCCATATATATCCTTTTATTTTACCAGAGATGTTAGTGAACTGCATCCACAGAGCGTCGGTGTTTCTGTTCTCAAAAAAAGTCCTGCTTTGACCTTAACCCTTTCTTCTACGAGGCCTATGTGGATGAGAAAAACAAAGTGGTCAGCACCCCGTCCTTCATGTGGGAGACAGAGAATCACTATCATTATATATTTGATGGCATCGGAAATATGGTAAAACATGTCATGCGTATGTCAACCAAGTGAGTTGAGGCAGTGAGCCTGGTAAAGAAACAGAGGAAGCTGGCATTCATATACAACATACTCCTCTGTATTGTGTTCTTACCTGAAACAATATAAATGCTTTAGTTGAAGAACAAATGACTTGTCTTGTGTAACTGATGGTACTGGGTAAAACATGTCACATGTTTAGTATGGCCCAAAGTATGTGTATGAGTTCAGGTAACATCCATAGAGAGTAGAGCTGCACATCTGAAGGATGAACGGGGTCACCATCTAGTATTTGCCTTGACCAGTGTCTTGGACTGGAGGCATCCTGACTTGTCACAGTGATGTGTTTGTGTGACAGTCTAAACGCAGCAGAAAGCCCAGCTCAGTGTTCGATCAAAGCTAACAGTGACCTTGTAAACAACAGTATCAGTAGTTTAATGACAAATATTTTGGATCTTTTGCTGCAGTTTTAGGCAGTATTACAGATTTGGGATCATGTAAAAAACAACAACCAACAAATAAACAAAAAAACAAAACAAAATCGATGACATAACATAATCAAACATAGGATGTAATTCATGTTTCTTTTGTCTCATTTAGATTCATCAACTGAGGACTAACACCTTATAATGTAGCGTAGACACACTACACACCCTCTTATTATTATCCTATCACTGACTGAAACGTCAGTCCTGAGGTGAGATGACTCACCTTTCTCCAGTAAGTTTTTAGTATCTACACTATGTTGCAACACAGGACATTTAAGCTTGGAGTGAAAGAGCAGCGTCACTCTACAGATAGCATTGTTGGTCTGTTACTCAAGTTGGTCCAGACTGCAATATTGCACTTTGTCTTTCTTCGCTCCACCTTCATCCAAGATGGTATCTTCCAGCTTCTGATTGACTGAACACATATGATCCAGGTAATCAGCAGTGGACAGGGCAGGGATAGTTGGAAAACAAGCAGGGCAGCAGCACTTGAGGACAGAATTACCCACCCCTGATGTAGGTATTTATCCATCCATCCATTATCTATACCACTTATTCCTGAGATGTGGTGGGTGGGCTGGAGCTAATCCCAGCTGACATTGGGCAAGAGATGGGGTCCACCCTGGACAGGTCGCCAGTCTATCACAGGGCTGATATGTAGACAAACAACCACACACGCTCACACACCAATCAACCTAAGCTGCATGTCTTTGGACTGTGGGAGGAAGCCGGAGAGAACCCACGCAGGCACAGGGAGAGCATGCAGACTCTGCACAGAAAGACCCCAGGTCGGCCTAGGCTGTGAGGCGACAGCACTAACCACAGCATCATTCCTGTAGGTATTTAAAGGTTATGAAAATAATTTTGACTGGCACATCACTGTTGTCAGTCAACCCTGACACCTGAATGAGTGCACATGAGAGGGTGAAAGGAGGAATGAGACAACGAATAAATTAACTATGATGGGAAAAGGGGAATGGGCCAAAAAAAGTAAATGCATGGGAAACATGTGGGTGGGCTGAGGCAGGCGAGGTGTAAATATACATGACAGGTGATTACAGGTGTCGCCTGTAAATAAACTAGTACATCATTTAAGTTAATTCAAAGAGCAGCTATGTTCATTTCCTTAAAACACAATAATAATACTAGACAGTGTGTCAGGTAAATTCAGAATAAAACAATTTATTCATTACAAACATAAAAAAAGACAACAAGATGGCAAGATATAAAATTTCCAGTTTGTACAAAACGTCCAAAACCATCATCAGGAATGCATACTCACTCCATATGAAGATTTTCATCTGGGTTATATTAAATCTAAAACAAATGTTGAATCCTCCCCCACGTATAGCTACAAAGACATTCTTAAAGTCTCAGTCAAGTGATGTACAAAAACAGCTTTTGTCATTTTTCAGTAAAAAACAAAACAAAATGGCAGCTAATGGACATAAAATTCATAACAACTGACTTTTAATTCGAATACAGAATCAGGAGCAGATATAATATTCAGTGTTTCCTTCACATCAGTGTTGTGAATTGTAAACATTGTTGCATAACTCATTTCAATAAATATACAGGAATACGCATAATGTGAGCAACACCTGTGTAGAAAAGGTACAAAAGTTAAACAAGTTTAACCACCTGATCAGTTCGATTACAGCCCATCCCTTCCGCGGTCAATCAATTAGTGTATTTGTGGCATTAACAAAAATAAGGCAAAATTATTTCCCAGTGTTTATCAAGTTTTACAGTGTCTTATTTCATCACAGAGGCAAAGTTGGACTGATTCAGATGGAGCAAAGTAGCATTTTTTCATCTGATGAAATGTGAACAGGAATATACAACAACAGGGTTCACTCACATTAAGATACATATAAACATTTGTACACTCTGAACAAATACTGTGAGGCTTTTTTAAGTGATGTGATTAATAAAGTCTCAACCGAAGAGCTTTATCCTGACAGTGAAGTGTGAAACAGGGAGTTATTTCAGGGAACCAGCAGGTAACTCACAATGGCAAATGAACTCAATCTTTTTTTTTAAACAGTAAATCAATGTTTGAAGTCATGAAAATTAGGTTACATGAACTGTTAAGACCTTTTATATCAATTCTTTGTGTAATTACAAGTGCTGCCCAAGAGGGTGGCAAAAATGCAGTTTGACTGGGAACACAGGCAACACCTCCACAAACATATCTCAGACACAGACCTACATAAGTGTTATTAAGGGATGTCTTTGATGCACTAGACATAAAGTTGAAATCCAGCCTTTACAGTGTAGCAGGCTGCTGCTTTTATAAGGCAGGTCTTTCTCAAAGGGGTCCTATAATAGTCATGGTTTAATTAAAATATCCCAAAATACATTTGCATGAGCTTTGTAGAAAAATAAATAATCCCTTCTCAGCATCATTATGCAACTACAAGAAAAAGAAAATGCCATATGTTAACAGCCAAGGAGCTGACGTCTGACACATGAAATGGGATACAGCACATAGTACCATGTCTTTAAAATACTTCACTTTAGTCTGCTGTAACAAGAGAATAACAAGTTTAAACAATGAGTTCTTTCACAGGACAAAACCCCAGTGAAGAGGAACAGTGTCCAGGACCACAGTGCTATCATCTGTTTATTAGATCTCCTGTTTGGTTTCTGTCCTAGATATACCTGTAAAAGACAAAGACAGAGAACAATATAGCTTTAATGAAATGGACAAGCTAAAATATTTTAACTATATGTTGAGCACCATAGATTCTAGCATGCACAAATTCATTGCACATGGATGACAGTGTAGCAGGCAAGAAAAGAAAGCAGGTTAGCGAGCAGAGACAGGTGGGGAAAAAAAGAGGAACAAATGGGGACAAGCAGGATAACAGACCAAGCAGCTAGAGCAGTGCTGAGACGGAGTCAGAGTCTGAGTCATGGTCAGGGCTGAGGCAGGGCTCACGGGAACTGATGGATTCCTGAGCCTGCCTGTATGCTTCGTACTCCTGGCGGAGAGCGTTGAAACGCGCCTCACTTAGAGAGCGGCTGTACTGGCAGCGAGGTGTGTTGAAAACTGGCGGGCTGAATGAGGGAGACGGGCCTGAGGAGGGCATCAGGGAGAGGAAAGGCATGGATGGACACTTCATGGGACATGCTCACAATAATCACAGCACAAGGGCACAGGATGAGCATGTGCAGCACCATTACATCAAGAACTACACTCACAATAATGCATGGAACATCACACACAGTGAGAATATGGAAAAAAAATGATCACCTTTCTGTTGCTGGTCCTGGGGGCCACCAGCTTGATCATATCGGAGTTCCCCCCTGACTCTCCGAAAACCCATTTGTGACTGATCAAACCTTGTGGCCTCCAGGACTTCTGAGTCCACACAGACATCTGCAGAATCCCACTCATAACTCTCATCTACTGATGTGTTCCTTCTAATGAGATAAACAAAACAAGCGGTCAGACAATAGGAACCACAAACACGAAACACAAACAACAAAATGAATGTTATTTTGGCAACAAAAATAAATGCCTCTGCCAAGAAGCCACTCCGGTGTGTTGTGTTGTTATTGTCCAGGTGTGGTGGTGTTTCACCTTTTTGCTCGCCTCTCAGGCAGCTCCATCTCAGCTCTGTGCCGCTCGCTCTCCTCTGTGGTTTCTGGGGAGCTAAGCAGTGTGGGAGTGATGGACAGGGACTGTCGGAAGAGACCGGCACTACCTCTACCACTGCTCTGACTGGCATAACTGGCCCTTCCACCCTCCCTGATCTCCCGGACTTCCCGCATCTCTGTCTCCACTCCCCTCCCCATCATCCTGTCCAGCTGCCTATAGCTCTCTCCCTCCCTATGTGTGAGGGGAGGGTAGTAAGGTGAGGGCCAGCTGATGCCCCTGGGCAGGTAGCACCTTGGAGGGCCCCTCCTGGGATCCATGGGTCTAATGATATTCCCTCTGGATCCTGGCCAGTGTTGGTACTGGGGGACAGGGATGGATGTGGATATGGGGACATATTTATGCTGGGCAGATCTCGGAGTTTCTTGATAAGAGGGAGACCACCTGGAGGACTCAGGGAAAACAGCGGCTTGTTGTCGAGTATCACAGGGTTCCAGCATTGGCGAGAGTGAACTTCGTCTGGGTGGGTACATGGAAGGAGTGAGGTAGGAAGGACTAGCTAAAGGTCTTTGTGCATGATGAGGCCTCTCTAAGCTCCTCATATTGGGGCGTCTAAATGGGACATACTCCCTCCAGGACGGGCCTGGTCTGGGAAGGAAAGATGGTGCATGACCCAAACTGTGGGACTTCACCCTGACATCTGGGCTTGAGAACTTGTCCCAGTAACATTTCTCAGAAATATATGTCCTTGGGCTCTCAAAGTGTTCCCACCTCTGCAAACCTAAACTGATAGATTTCTTTAAAAAGGGGTGAGGCTGTCCCATTTCCGACAGCGTCCTGCAGGGGCCCATGCTTAAGGATTTCTTGAGAAATGGCACAGGGGCCTGACATATCCGTGATGCAATGTTATTAACCTTACTGCCCTGAGAACCTTGTCTTTGGGATTGCTCAGATAAAGACTCACTACTGTCTACAAAACTCTGAGAGTGTTTTGATACTATATCTGCCATGGCCGTTGCCGCACTGAACAAGGTGTGAACTGACTTGGATCCAAGTCTGGATGCGGCTCCGTCTGTGCTTTTACTCCCAATTCGGATTTGCGTTTTCTCATCATAGAGCTGTTTACTCGTTTTTTCTGCACCTGGAGATGATGGCCTTATCTCATCTGGAAATCTTACTCTAAGTGAAGAATCTCTAGCTTCCACATGGAGGGGGCGTTTAGAGCCCTGTTTTCTACCAACATCAAAGCTGGCCTCTGCAGCACTGGCAGAGTGAGGTTTTTCAAAGCCAGCTTCCTTTTGGTTTAAGCCCATTTCCTGGTTTTCCTGAACATGAACATCCCAGTTTTTAGGAACTACATCAGGTTTAGCCACCAGAGATGTCTCTGGACTTAGTTCTGAACTTAATCCAGCAGTGTCTATGGCTTCAGCTTCCTTCACAGGCTCATCTACACTCATTTCAATGAAACACGGAAGGCTCAGGTACTGAAGAATTGCACTTGTCTGCAGTGGGGATATTTTGGGAGATGAGGCTGCAGGCTTGGCCTTGAAGGACTCTGACATTCTGGGGACAGAAAATTGGGACTGGTCACTCTCTACCTCTTCTACAAGAGTTAGTGTGGTAATAGGGCTGGGACTATCAGAGAAAAGATATCTGTCACTCCTCCGTGTTCGAATGCCCTCGTTTTCTAACTCCGAGTAGAACCCCACACTTTGTTGGCCCGGAGTCTCTCTGTCTTTGGCTTCTACCCCTGCTGCAGGATGTTCACAGGGTAAGGTAGAATAACTTGAGGGACTGGGATCCCTTGTGGCTGTGCAGTGTACATCTACAGTTCTCTCAGGCTGACTATACCGTGCAGAGGCTGAATGTTCTGGCCCCTCACTGTGGACTGACCTTCCAGCTGCTGAATCCCAGGGCTGAGTGCCTGCATAAGCATATGAATGTCTATACCTTATACTTCTGTCCTGTATTTTTTCCCTTAATCCCTGCTCAGTTATGGACTTCCTGCAGGTATCTGGCTCACTCTGATGGCTTTCTAAGGAGACATCAGGGGAGAGCATGGGAAGGGAGGTGTTCTGTGTGACAGGTGAGCATGATGGATCAACAGCAGAAGAGCCCTCAGAGGTTTCCCTGCATGTGCGAGGATGCTGCAACCTTGGTGAAGTGGTCTCCCCGGGACTCTGTACAGGAATGAGGCTGGTGACTGATGTAACAGGGCTGATGTCCCACTGTATGCGAGATGTAGGGAGCCGATCCATGGGACTGCTAGTGTTTCCAAAGTAGCATGCCCTCCGATAGTCAGATACCCAACTCGTCTGACTTGAGGGCTTGTGTTTCTGTCTGATAGTAACATCTTTTGGCTTCCATATCGGCTCTTCCTCTGACTTGAGCACATCCCTCTGAGGGCTTTCTCTTTTATTAAACTGTTGCCTGTCTCTTCCATGACCACAACTTCTCTGATCAGCAGTATAGCTCTTCAGCTCTCTCTCTATTTCTTCCCTCTCCTTTGCCAGTTGGACACACTTGTTAATGCTATCCCTCTCCAGCACGCCGTCGAGTTGTGAGACCAGGGTGCTGTTATTAGTCAGCAGACTTTCAATAGGCTGGTAGCCTGAACAATGCGGTCTGTCTCGATCTTTATCCAGAAGCTCTGTTTGTCTGCCCAAGCTGGGGAACAGAACTTCAGTGTAGCCTGACATGTGGTGTCTCCTTAGAGAATCACTGGGTTTTTTCTCACTGTTGTCTGAATAGAAGCTGGCTCTTTCCAGTAGGGCCTCTGAGCCTTGTTCATCATCAGAGTAAAAGCAGCCATGACGGGAGAAGTTTCTGGCCATGGCTCGTACTCTTCCAGGGGAAGAAGGAGGTCTGCTCAGCTCTGGAACATCCACAGTGAGAGGAGAATCCTTCTTCTCGTCCTTCTCTGAGCTAAGGGTGCTTGACTTTGGAGAATCTCTGAATGATGTACAGTTGCTCCCTGAGCCACTTGCCCCACCATTACTTTGCAGAACATCCTTCTTCAAGTTTTTCGTACTGGAGGGACTGGAACCCTCTGGTAGTGGTTGGACAATGAAGCGTCCATCTGGCCCTCTGGAAATGGACTCCAACACAGTTGGTGAGGGGGCCTGAGACCCCAAGTGACTCTCAAAGACTGTGTAATGTGGTGGTGGAGATGAGTTGAACAAGAGTTTTTTCCGCTGGTCATCGTATTCCCCACGGCTGCCTTTATCAAAAGATGACCGATCAGATTGTCCAGAGGATGAGCTGGGGAAGAAGGGAAGCGGTGGACACAGCTTCAGCTTTAGGACACTGTCTGGGCTGCAAGGGGGCGAGTGAGCTCTGAGAATAACATAGAAATGACATTTTAAAACAACTCTACAGTGCTGCATGCTGTACATAAACTAATACATAAAATTACAATGTAAATGAAGGAATGAACATATGCAGGTGCGCTGGTGTGGACACTTACTCTGGACACGAGTTCTTCTGAAATGCAGATGGGAGATCTAGAAAAAGGTGAAGAAAGGATTAAAATGTCAAACAGCAATACAGTTGAAGTTGTCCTGTTTTGACAAAGTATATTTAATATGGTCTTAGAAAGCCACAATTTCACTCTGCATTTTTGTGTGTTGTCTTTCAATCTGATTTTTTACCCTGTCTTCTCTTTCTGTGCCGACGCTGTCTCCTATGACGCATATAGCATGCTGTCACCAGTGAAAGGATGATGGCCATAAACAGGAAGCACACTCCTCCTAACACACCAGCTAACAGAGGCTCAGAGATGACCTCTAAGAAACCTGGGCGTAGAGGATAAATGTCCATCCCTGTAATCAGATTGGAGAAAAAAAAAATTATGTTTGTAAATTCAACTGCTAAAACCCAATTCTAATTTTGTAAAGATCAAGTAATATATAGTTGCAAGAAAAAGTAATGGCACTGTTTGGAATTTCCTGGGTTTCTGTATAAACTGGAAATGTGATCTGATCTTCACCAAAGTCACAAATATCAACAAACACAAGATTTCTAAGCTGATAAAACACAAACACCTTTCATGTCTTTATTGAACACACCCATTAAATATACAAAGCGATGGTGGAAAAAGTAATAACACTAGACTTCTGATGTCACTAAATGTCAACTGGAGTCAGGTGTTAGCAAACCTGGAGCCCAATCGCATCACATAGAAAATCAAGAAACTTAAAACAGTGCCACTATTTTTTCTTGCGACTGTACACATTCCATAACCTTGACTCAATATGCATATAACACTCATGACAACTTATACAAAGCATCTTACCTAAGGTGGACACATTGACAGACTCGCTGGGTTCACTGAGTACTTTGTTGCTGCGAGACATCAGCCTCAGATCATAACTGGAGTCCTGAAAGAAATAAAGATCAGGCATTTGATTAACTTTTTTAAATGAAAAAAATAATCTAGTATACTTGTAATGAAAGTCACTTTGTCAAACATTTTCATTATTAAGCATAAGATCTGATTGGTGATGATTTTTAGCACAAAAGCTACAGTATTTAATCTACATACAGCCACGTAATGAAAACAAGAAACACAAAGGCCACACTGACTGGTCTCTGGAAAGTACAGGTTGGATGAAAGTATGAGAAAAAAAAAATCATGGGGCATCTGATGACCAAACAGTTAAGACCCATACCACATAAGCTCAATGTCTATTGTTCAGTTCCCGTGTTTGTTTAATGTCTTTCTATGTCTCTGAATTGTGAGCTATTAAAAATAATCACAAATCATCTCTAAAAAAAGAAAAACCGTTCATTACCCTTAGCAGTCCTTGTACAAGTAATTCACTCTGATTGGCACTGATGTTGCTGCTAAGGATGACCCACTGGGCCGTATCCCTGCGGACCTGCAGCACGTAGCCCGTCAGTGGAGACGATGGCGCCTCAGGAGGCAGCCACTGGAGGAGAACACCTTGCGCTGTCCGGTTGGCTGACAGGAGTGTGGGAGGATCAAGGATTGGGACAGTGGTGACCACTGTAGGTACTTCTGTTGGCACAGCTGATGAGAAGACCCAAATATGAGTTCCTACTAATGCACCATTTGGATAAAACCATGCAAAGATTATAGAGAGTAAACAAAAATCTAATCAGATATATGTTAACTATAAAGACCTTGGGTTCGCACAGAAACAATTTCACTGAAAGGTCCAGAGCCGATTTTATTTTGAGGCAGGACACTGAACTGATATGCAGTGCCAGCAAGGAGCCCTGGCACCAGCAGGTAGTTTTTGGATGTGGGAACAGGCAAAGATGCCCATTCATGTTTTCCCCTCGATGCCTGCTTGACCCTGAAAAAGATCAAAACAGCCAAAATAAAGTCAGCATAAAACAGCTGGGAATGCTGTTGACAGCTGAGAACAGTGTCATACTGTTTTATCTGTTACTGACCACACAGTGAACTTCTGGGTGTATCCACCATCAAAGCCAGGCACCCAGGACACATTAGCCTGGTTCACCTCTGTGGTGACAGATATCGAAGCCACACCATGAGGACTGGTGCCTAAGGAACAGAAAAACACTTCTGCAAATGAAAACTGTCAGGAATCCATGTGAATACATTCAGGTGTCGTGTATCATAAGGTAAAGGTAAAGGACTCAATCAAAGACAGAAAGGTAGGGAGGTGGTTATGCACACTCCCAGCATTTCCCAGCATATAAGGCTGGCCCACTCACCCAGCACCATGACCACAGTGCCTGCGCTGACAGATGCTACATGATTAGTGACCAGGCACTCCCAGCCCCCATGGTGATCTTTACTGAGAGGCTGCAGCAGGAGGGAGCCATTAGCCAACACACTGTATGGAGAGCGAGGAGTTGAACCAATCTATAAAAGAAGATAGTCCCAAGAAGTTAATTAGGGGATAGATATGTTTTTCTGCTCCTTCATAGATCTGGAGTTGAAATTGTCATCCTGTACCTTGCTCCATGTCACATTTGGAATGGGATCACCGCTGGCTTCACAAGGGATGATCAATTCTCTGCCCACCTCCTGGAGATAGTCAGGCCGAGGAGGCACTCGGAATGATGGAGGGTCCTGAAAAAAGGGGAAAGAGCCTTCTTTTGCCTATCCACATAAAACTGTGCACTCACAGTAAAAGTTTTTTCTGCAGCTGCAGACTAAGATGATGAGCCCAGCCTTACCTTCAGAATGACTTGTGTGGGTTCAGACTGGCCCATGGTGCCGTAACTGTTATAGGCAGTACAGGTGTACATGCCCACAGCGTTGTCATTGACTGTTGTTATAAAAACTGAACCCTCAGAGTTCACCATCCAACCAGGAAACTGGACAGGTCAAAGTAGGAAAAAAAAAACATGGTGAGTTACGAGATACTGTATCTGTCAGATGTTGCCAGACTTTCTTTTGAGATCTTTATATTCACGGCACATAACTTACATTGTCAAGATTCAAGTTACTGCCATCTTTGGTCCAGTTGACGTACAGCACAGGTGGATCAGCCTGGGCGGGACAGACAATGACTCCCTCCATGCCTGCAGGCAAATATGTTTCTCGAGGCATGCGACCTACACGTGCAGGGTCTAAAATAAAGAAAGAAGAATTCATAAAAAAAGAAGAAAAAAAAAAAACACCTTATAGGGTTCTTGCCCAGGATATGCTGTTAAATGCCCCCACCCTCTGCAACCCTTGCAAGAAAGGTTACCCAAAATGGATGAATAATTGACTAAACCCTTACGTTTCACTTTGAGGTGTGCAGAAGCTGAAGGTGGGGTCAATATTCCATTAGTTGGGACGCAGGTATAGTTGCCAGCATCTTCCGGGATGAGATTAGGGATAAGAAGTGTTCCATCCACTAAAATCTTCACTCGCGACTTTAGGTACCTAAAGCCAGAAGAGCAAGCGTCTTTGTCTCAGGTTTAAAGTGTGCTCATGACCACAAGATATAACTTACATATTAGAAATGATTTCATTAACACCATCCTTTGGAAAAACTGTTTACTCACTCAATATGGTAAACATTCTGTCCTTGTTTCAGCCACTCATAGGTGAGGTTTGAAGGATAGGCATCAGCCTGACATTGCAGAACTGCATCCTGGGACATATTGAGAGTGGTGTCCTCTGGGGAGATGATGATGATTGGAGGACCTTTGTGGTAAAGTTGAACAAAACATAAGACACCAATACAAACCTATGCCTGTGTGATACAGGCAGTCATAATCAGGATTTGTGGAAAGATCGGTGTTGAGTTGGTGGCAAGCCTTAAATCATTGGAATAGCATGGTCTGTGGGTGGTAATATACAATATGCAACCTAGATGTAAGATGCAGAAGTGTTCATCGGCTTTGCAGTAGCACACCAAGATCTCAGAGCCTTTACACAAGCTAGAAAATGTCATCTATCTGAAAAGACATGTCTTGGAAAAATATGTGGGTTGATGTTGCAAAATGTTAAAGCTGCACATCACAACACGTTTTAACATGAAACAGGAAGAGACGCCGTTTTCCTGATGAGTGACAGTTCAACACTGACCTTTGACCTGCAGCTGCATTGAGTGGGTCAGGTTTCCTTCTGAGTTGGACACATGGCATCTGTACACTCCTGAAATATTTCTTGTGACAGAGGTCAAAGACAAGGTTCCATTGAACACCTAAAATGGGATTAAGGATCAGGAAAAATTTGGAGGAAGATCACGAGGCAGTTATGGAGAGAACAACAAAGCAGTTTGCTTCAAAGGAACATCAAAGCTACTACTCCTACAGAATATGCTAATTACATAGTATTTGATTAAAATACTGGAAATGCCATCTGCTAATACTCCTCACTTTTATTTTTTCATGTTTTTCAATTGGCCTCTCATCTTTATGCCAGACAACTGTTGGTCGAGGGTTGCCATGGGCTCCACAGCTGAGAGTCAACGAGTCTCCGAGCAGAACTTCCACAAAAGTCGGTGGTTTCTTGATAAACACGGGTGGAGCTAGAACAAAAACAGCTGAGATGGAGCGATTATTTCTATTTACACACTCTATCTGTGTCCTGCATGTCCTATTTACAATAGGACATGCAGGACAGTCCCTGCACTAACTTGGCTCTAAATGCAGAAGTTAACAGTGACCTTTAACATCCTTCACCCAGTACAGTTCATAGGTAAATGTGTCTTTATTTTCTCTAAATGTAGCATTTTGTGCTTTGATTACCACAAATGTAAATGGAGCACAACAGCTCATATACCATCAAACCCCAGTAAAACCTCACCGACAGTACATGTATGGGCACATACAATTTCTTTCTTGTAACACACTTTGCCTGAGTTAGGGAGAGCAGAACACAAACCCAACCTTGCCAGAGTTTGGGAGTTATTTACTCTGTTAAAAAAAATATGCACTTAAACAGGAAAAAGCTTTGGATAAAAATGTCAGCATGTACTGTACAAGGCTCATTCTCAGGTTTGATTTTAGGATTACTACTTAACATTTTCTTAGGTAATGTACTTCAATACATTCACTGACATAATACTCTTAAATACAAGAAAGGTATTCAGTCTTCATCTGAAGCCTGATGTAGCACATGTAGCGCAGTTATATCAAATCGCTACTTTACACTATCAACAGAAATTGTCTACTGGCGAGTGTGTGTAACATAGTGTGAAAAAGGAGTTGGGTTAAAAAGAGTCAGATTTAAACATTTAACCTTAATCTTTAGCCCACACAAACCACACACTGTCCTGTCCTGGTTATACTCTCTTATACTTCTATGTTGACATTCAAAGCAGACTATCCACACACAAACACATAATGTAATCACCATGTGCACAATAGGTCACACGACAGAACCACCTCATAAACTGCAATAACACTCAGGAAATTCAGCTTGCCAGGGCCTACAGTCACAGCTAGACCACATGCTGTGGCTGTTCTAAACAGGGACAGTGCCAGCGATGAGTAACGAAAGGAGCAGCTCCTGAGTCCCCAAAACCCTGCAGTGCTGCACCTGTGATAGAGAGGAAGGTCCATGTGCCATTATGAAAGTCATCTGTTTTACTGTCCAATAGCAGGATGCGGCATTCAAACCAGCCTTCGTCATCCAGGGTCAGCCGTTCCACCAGCAGGGAGGCACCCCGGGTCAGAGACACACGACCTGTGGGAGGGTACAGAGTTAAGGATGAGGGACACACAGAGAGAGAGAGAGAGAGAGAGAGAGAGAGAGAGAGAGAGAGAGAGAGGGGCTCAACACACTTACAGTCAGACAGGCAGAGTCAGCGCATGCAGGAAGAGGGGTTATCATGACCAGGACACAGGCATCCAGTGTCACAAAGGCCACAGTCAAAGTCATAGACTTTATGCAAGCAAGCAAATCCACGCACAGTGTGAATATCAGCTGTAGTTTGTTTGTAGCAAATAATCAACCATGGATAAAATATGCAGAGGATGAGAAGTCCGTGGTTCTAAGTTGGAGTACAAATGCATGAATGACTCAGATGACAACTGTAACGATATGCAAGGTCAGAGGTTACGATGGTGTCCTGTCATTTAGGGTTTGGGCGGCAGCAGAGTGACGAGCCAGGAATGCTCGGACTGAACTTAAAACACAAATAGAAAAGTATATGAATGTGTTTTATTCTTTTCATTTTTGTAATTTTGAGCTTTAAAGAGATTTTCTACAACAGATTCATATTGAAATGAGTCACCTGTTGTTGTTTATCAGTGAGGGGCACTGGGCAGAAATGAACGTGAGGCATGGCATATGCACAGCCTGAACTCTTGTGTGAATACCCTCAAACACACAGATGGATCCATGCATGAGAATACACACATCTCCCTTTTTTAACAGTGACACTCACTCACACACAGACACACAGCGCCACTCCCTCTTCTCCTCTCTGTACTTCTTACAACTCCTTGTCAGGCTTTGAAACTTGATCTGTTGGTTGCCTGGTGACTGCAGCCTGGTTTTCAGAGTAGTGAAGTTGCCCTTCCCCACCCACCCCCCACACTCCTTTATTCTGCCTCTCAATGAACTCTTTTTTTCCTCCTTCAATCACAGGCCTTTAAACACCGGGAGGATGTGTGCAGGGGGAAACACACACGTTGCTCATACCAGGCTGTGGCAAAAGCAGTTTGAAAGTAAACAGTGAAATGTGGAGTGGTTTCTGGTACGCCATCATTCTTGTTAACTACAAACAAGTTGTTTAGATGATATAGGTAATGGCTATCATCACATTCAAGCCTCTGTGCAAAGTACTAACGTAGTAAAGCATCTCAAACAGAAGGAAAACCATCATTTTTATTTCATCTTGAGGCTGAGCACTAACATTATCTCCTACACTGCAAATATAAGAGAATTCTTCAGTGTGCTGCAACAATATCACAAGAAACACAATATCCTCACTATTCACACTGGTTTCCCGCCAGACAGCAGTGTCTCAAGCAGAGCCTGAAAGCTATGAATTTAGGACTACACATGGCCTTAAGACAGGGTGAAACACTGAGTGTAAAGACACACAACAATGGCTAACAATTAACCTTGCATTCCTCTGTGTGTGGCTGTTGCTGTGCTTAATAGTTAGGCTTAATGATTGATTGACCTCCTAAACAGCAGACCAGCGTTTTATGGGTGGTGCTCATTTAGAGGCACCATAAAATGAATGCCTTGAATTTCTGGTCAGCATCTTTCAAACAACTGGGCAGGGCTCAGAGAGGAAATGTGCAGGCAGATGATAACAGGTGTGAGGGTAATTTTAGGTATTTTCCTCTTGTCTCTCTTTGAAGGATCCTCCCTGTGCTACTCTTTTAGTATGCAACCTTTTCAAACGGGACATGGACTAAACTGCCCAGTGCGGGATAGGAGAAAAAACTCTTCCGCATGCAAAATCACACAAACCCTCCTCAGCATACCCATAATTCTCATGTAGCTAAATATGATGGGATACTAAAAGACCCCTGTGGCATCTCTTGTCATATTTTGTAAATGTAGCCCATAGATGTCTCAGTGACTGGGCGTATGAACACTAATCTCATGGGTTCAGAAGCACATGGGTGTGTGTACATGTTGATTTTCAAAATCTGGCGAGTTCCCTGCCCCCTGGGTCTCAACAAGGGAATTCTGGTTTCGACGTCATACCTTTTCCTGAAGCCTTCCTCTTGCCCATCACTACAAAAAGACAGCAACCCCACCCCCACCCCTCATTCTCCCAGGTTACCATAGTGATGAGACCAAGAAAAGCCCGGGCTGTAGTTTTAAATTTGAATTCAGTTGCTGTAGAAACACGGGTTGACTAAACATGGTTAGGGGCAGGTCGATCGAGCAGGGGGGATGGGTCTTTACTGTCAAATATTTGAAAAATTACAAGTGGGGGGGGGGAGCGCGTTTAAAAAACAGCCTTGTGTCACAGCCAGCAAGCAGCACATGAGGCACAGAAGAGAGGAGTGAGTGAAATGAGTGAAAGGTAGAGAAAGAGGCCTGCTTTCCTTTTAGCCTGGGGTCAGATACAAGGCTGACACGGTGACAAATGTTGATTTAATGTTGTGCTTAGGTGCTCCATCCTAAGTATGTTAACAAAAAAAGGTTGCTTTTCTCTCAGATACAGATACAATGCAAATATGTTGCAATAACTGAACATGAGTTGAAAAATGACCAACCGTATCAGTAAAACCCACCCTGTTTCTAAATCAAAGAGGAGTTGAATGAGGTTACGGAGAGGTTACTTGAAATATTTACAACAATAATCCACTGACAGCCAATAAGAGGTTGACCTTTCTGACCTCTCTGCTCCATAACTCCTCAGCAGACACATTCATCACTTCCCCTGGTCCTACATCAGCACAATACCCATGAGTCCTCCTCAAGTGACAAACATCGTTACACTTCCATGGTGGACACAAAAAAGGCTGAAACAATAGCTTCTGCTCTCTTCTTGTGTCCACCCTTCTCCTGTTTTTCCTCCAGCAGCTATCACATGACAGCTCCAGACTGCCTTAAAATGAGCACCCTTGTTTCCAACAGGTCCGAGCTCCAGCGCAGCCAAGGGTAGAAAATGGAAACACTAATCCACTGATGCTGCGTGAGCCTCACACACACACACACACACCCTCTTCATACTGGTGAGGGTCAGGTTCTCACCCAGTGGGTGGCAAGTGAGGAAAAACTCAGCTTTCAGTTGCACTGCTGGCCAGATACTGGCCTTGTCTTACTGTCTCTGATCTACGGTTTTTCCCAAGACAAGGTTAATGTGGCTTTTCTGCAAGTGAAACCACTGCAGTGCAACCAAGCAGACAGTTTACACCACATACTTTGACCTCACATAATTCTTGTTCATTTCAGGCTAGAGTTTTTATTTAAAACACTTTCCTTTCATGTAGTGCTATTAAACTGTATTTATAGTTAGTTTGAGTTTACTAAAGCTCTATGACAGGGCTTTTATTGTTTCAAAGAAATGAAATCAACATATAATTTTTGCAGTGGGGTTTCCCACTGCCACTTAGTGACATACAGTAGTAATACATCGGGTACAATGGATTACATGTGATATAATAGTAGGATTATTCTGTTTGGAGAACACCAGCACTGCTTTTCTTTGTCCATCCGTATGTGCATAAGAGAGCTGTGCAGAGGGGCATAGTGGGATGTGTTTTGATTTGAATACAATCACAAGTCTGGGACCGGCCCCATGCCTCTGTCAGCTCACCCCTCCCACTCCCCCAAATTTCTCTGTTCAATCCTCCTGTCTGCCTAATCAGTTTAACCCTCTTATGAATAGTTCTTTGTCATAAAATACATTACAGTTAACTCTGTCCTTCTCTCTGTCTGGTTCTGTTAACCCCTGCACCAGCAAGTGCTCACAGCTCATGTGCCAAATTTCACTACAGCAGTGACTCAACCTGCCATGGGTAGAGAGCTAAGTATTAATTTTGATATGCTTAAAATCTGCAGTTTGTTGCAATGAGATTATAAGAGGTGTTTTGAATGTTTTCCAAGACAGATCTTTACCCTTAATGCCTCCAAGAATAGCAAACTAACTTAAAATAGTGAAACTATTGTGGTAATGTTGGTAAAAACACCAAGTAATCTTACAGCTGTGGCTTACATAAGCCATTACCTTCCTACTGTTCATGCAGGCCATAAAAAGACACTTGGACTACACCTCCCCAGTAGAGTAGGATTTAATATGAGCAGCACTGACTGATTCATGTTCTTCATAGACTTGTTCTGGCCCGCGACACACCTAGGGCACGAGATAACAGAGTCTTTGTAATGACCTGCTGGTTAACATGAAATTCCCAAGTTGCAGCTATCTATTATTCTTTTATTGTGTTACTGTTTGCTACACATCATCCTAGTGTAGTTGTATTTGAAAAACTGGTTGGTGATGGATAAAGGTGATCTGTATCACCTTTCAGCTGGACTATTTTCTGCTTTCAGCCACTAAACAGGCTCCTGTTTGCAAAAGCATAGTTGTTCAATAGTAAATTCCACACAGGTTTACAAAGGGAAAGGCCTCAGAGTTCAGGGTGGTTTATGCATTAGTAGAGTTCACTGTGTATGTGATTTGCGCATGTGTGTGACGAATGCAGGCCTTAACTTCTCCAGTGTTCAGAGGTCACTCTGAGAGCATGAAGGAGGCCTGCAGAGATCTGGGGGTTTTCCCATTGTCATTCTAACCTCAGGTTGGCATCCTCTGCTCACAGTCTGTACTGATTTTCTTCAGCAAAAAGAAGACATTTGATCTAATCCTGCAACTGTAAACCATCCTGATACTGCAAGGCTTAAGACATATTTTCTCAACAAATACAATTCAAACTGACTATAATAGTGCGTCAGTCAGTTTCTCTTTGTTGTGAGTTGACTAATGTTCTGCCCTGCAAGGCATGTTGGGTGTGAAACAGACAGGAAGAGGGATATAGAGTACTAATACCTTCCTGATTCACTTTAAGTAGACAAGAGAAGTTCTCTGAGACCCAGACAGGCTGGTGTCTAACAGGGTTGATGGAAGAACATCGTCCTGTAGTCATGATAGGCCTCAAAAACAGAGTGCAATCTCAAATACACCTGATATCATATCAAAAATTGTTGTTTTAATGGACTAAAGCGGTCATCCAAGATATCACATGTCCTGATTCTTTCATCTCAGCTTCTAAAAATGGCCAATAGCATCAGTGAGTTTGAGACAAAGCAGCAGACCAAGGACAGACAGCATTTGGTTTATCTTAACCTATTTAAATGAGCGGGATTTGTAATGCAATGGCTCCACCAAAGGAAGGACATAAAAACACTTGGATATAGTATTACATATTCAACTCTAATGCCTTTTTTAGATTTACAGGAAGAAGCCATTATGCTGTAAATCCACCCAGTACAAGTCTCTGCAATGTCCATAATTCATTTTCTTGATCTTCAAACTGTTTCTTAATCATCAACCTTGAAATGTAAATCGTCCCTGTTCTCTTGTTCCCGTTCTTAGACAAGTCAAGACAAAGATCGGGAAATGGTCGCCTACTTGACTGTGCTGTGGTTATATCTGAAATCCCCCAACATTTTAATTTGAGGGTAGAATACATTAGACCCACTGTGCTGACACGCTTCACATGCTGCCATCTGCCTCCAGTGGGAGGGGAGATATGAGGATCTGAGGCAGACAGGAGTAACGCTACAGACAAGTACACACATGGGTTGGAAGGAAAAATATTGGGACATCCCAAACTGTTTTCTGCTCTGCTACATCTCTGCAATGTTGTTTACTTCATTATGGCCGCTTGTGCATCAGATGACTACCTCTAAACAATGACATGGTTAACAGCCTACATGGGTTAACATGGCAAACACGTGTATCTTGACGGTTTATAGTTCACCTTAAATGTGGTTCCTTTGTTGTCATGATGCTGAAAACAAGTCTGAATCAGGGACATTAATCCTAGGTAGAACCTGTTAAATTAAGGTTGAATAAAATGCAAAGAAATTTTAAGCAAGGTTCCCTGTAAATTCAATTCCAGTGACCCAGCTGGGACAGTATGGGATTTCTGGTGTCCTAGTAGTCCTGTTGGGTTTGGCAAATTAAGGAGATGTTGTGATACCCCTCTTTGTCTTTTGTCCTCTGGTAGACAATGGCAGGCTTATAGGGCTCAGGCAAGAAATCTCTCATTATTCCCAATGCTTCATCTATCCTCCTTCCAGCACAACAATCTCCCCTTACTGGGTCACCCCTCAGCATACTAATAAAACACTGTCACCAGACCACCAAGCCCCCACCTACACTCTAAATCCCCCCAATGCACAGCGTTACTGGTACTCCGCTTTTTCCTGCTCAGCTACCCCACCCCCTTTAACGGCCTCCATTAATGCATTCTCACCCTTCCTCTTGTCCTGGAATTACAGCAGCAGTCTGGAAACACACACAGACTGAACACCCGCAGTAATTAGAGGGCATGTGGTTTACATGGATTACCTATTTGGGGTATTGTTTTATCCAAACTTCCCCTCCCCAGGTCTTCATAAATAGCAGTGCATCCTCTTTATATCTACCTACTGCCTACACAGGGCAGATGCATGTAGCTCCAGGTGAGAGAGCAAGATTGCCACATGGACACCTCTCTTCACCTTGCTTTAAATCTGTTGAACCATAATTAAAGAAATGTGTCAACTGCTGGGCCATGTCTTGATAAATGTTTTTCCAGATATAAATCTTTCATCAGTTTTGACAGGACTGTGTAGTTGAACACATCTGAATAACTCTCACCCTTGTAGTTTGGATGAACACGAGGAGCATACACCCCAAATTTGATGAGGATGGGAACACTGTAACCGAGGCGCACCCACTCCACTACATGCAGAGGAAAGAGGTTTGGTACAGCAGGTTCTCTGGATGTAGGAGAGAGACTGCATCCCAGCTCCGCAGAGGCCCCCTCTCTGGCACGAACCAACGATGCCAGACCTTGAGACACGCCTGTAAAAACAACAACATATCAGCAGGACAAAGGACACAAGTTGCTGGTAGCACAGAAAGCACTAAACAGTACAAATGTGAGTAAACACCTAAATCACTCTTTAATGGTGCATGAAATGGGAGTCTTTAAAGAGTTATGGCTGATTCTCTGGATTTTTTTTTTCATTTCTGCGAAAACCACGTGCTATGTAAAGAACAAAGCAGTAATACCTTTAGGTTGAAAGGAGGGCGCTCGACCACACAGGCAACAAGAGGTCAAACCCAGAAAAGTTGGTGGGAAACGTAAAAACTGAACTATAAATGGTGTGATGAACCGGACTCTGAATCAGCCACTGAATATGACTTCCCTAGAGTGTTCCCTTGTTAAAAGCTGGACCATCAGAGGGCATGTAAATCAATCATGTGCCATTTGGTGACAGGATCATATAGCTGAAAAAAGCCTGCAAATACACAACAATCCCATTAGTGACACCTGGAGTAGTCTCTCCTCACTCTGTATCCTCTCTCTCCCTCACTGCCATGTGCTCACGTGGGCGTGTGTGCAACTGGGTGCCAGTGTTTGCTCTACTACTCATCTGGCCCGGTGATTATGTTAATCTCAAAAGGGGGGGTTGATATTCTAATGCAGGACAGCAGGACTCTCTGTGCTCTCTCCAGGCGACCTCCCACCACCCCCTGGGGTACACACATGGTCCACAGACAAGCAGAATCAATGTCACCACCCCCCCTTTACAGACACATGCATGCTCAGAAATATGTGCCTAAGGTTGGGGGTGACATAAATCCAGGATTAATCTAAATCCACACCCCGAGATATTATTCAAGTTGGATTTTGGCCCCACTCTCCTTTGTCCACTTGTGTCCATTCTGTAAACCCCTCACTTTACATTCTGCAATGTAAAGGGGCTGCACCAGATTCATCATGCTGCCACTCAAAACTATTTGTAATGTAGGAGCTGAAAGGCAACATATGCCAACTGTTTTGCGATGCTTCAACATGACAAGAGACACCTGTCTCACTGATGTTGGTAAACAATGAGCATTTGGTGAAGTTATGCAAACAAATGGCAGAGAGACAAATGGAGCAAAACACCTGGCGTCTCACAGACTAAAACCACTCTTTCAGAAAGTCCTAATGAAGTTAAATTTGCTTTAATATATGATATATTATCACTGGGCAGAGTATTGTATATCAGATGCATGACTTCACTTTTTGGTATCTTTTAATGTAGTTAGTAAAACACACAACTAATAACGGTTTTCAAAATAAAACAATTTATATAAGTCTGCAAACTCTGCCTAATCTGTAACATATTTCTTAATCAAAACTTAAGTTAAAGCAAAGTTAAAACCACAAAAGTTAAAGGTGACACAGATGCTGTGATTATTCTATATAACGCGGTGAAAGAAAGTTAAAATAAGTCTTCAATGACTAAAGACAAATGCTACTGAAGAGCACAATCATCACCGTGATTGTGTAAATGTGATCCAACAAAACACATGTTCATCACAGTTCATCTGTAAGTCCCATGTTGAGTGACTTTCTCCATCAGTAATGGTCTCTTTTAATGTTTTGTCTATTTTTTCAAATCCACAGAACAGGATCTACAATAATTACACAGTATATAACAATCACTATAACAATGATTTATGCATCCATCCTCAGACAATTGTAATCCCTGAATAGCTAACTGCTTTAGTTACTTATTCTATGTATTTTGGGAACTCTCTTACGTTTGGATAACATGAGTGCATATTGTGAATTAACAGTTTATTGAAAGAGCATTTTATTTTTAAGAATAGTACTAAGAACTTTGCAGAAGACAATGCTTAAAATGAGGAATGAATTATGGAAATGCATTGTAACTACATGTGATGGATCCACACTTGCATTTGCATCCTTACTTATCAGACTTATGGCTACAGCAGCGGTGAGAGCCTGAAGCCACCGTCTCTCCAGTCCCATGGCCGTCCCTCACACTCCTTCACACATTTCCCAACCTGGAAGAGAAGAGCATACATGTCATTTACTTTTCAGCAAAACACAACTGTACCGTTCATAGATCCACCGCTGCATAAGCCCAATCCTCACATCACCCCTCAGACAAATGTAATCCCTCAAATTAACATCAACTACACTATATTCCAGATGCTTCTTGGTTACTAAATGACTGCATTCTTTGGAAACACTGGAAAATCACATGTCTGAGCTGTAGCTGGATTAGGTCAAATAAAATATTCCAGCAAGTGCTACAAACAGGCACTAGGGCACATGATTTTTTTTTTTTTTTTTTTTAGGTATGCATCCTGTGGTAGTGGACTGCATGGACTATGGTGTGTGCATGTCTCCAAAAAAGACATGTAGTTGCAAAAACAAGCCCCAGGGGACATGGTTTTTTTTTTTTTTTTTTTTTTAGGTATGCATCCTGTGGTAGTGGACTGCATGGACTATGGTGTGTGCATGTCTCCAAAAAAGACATGTATGCAGCTCTAAGTGTGTGCACAGATTAACCTGACGCAGCTCATATCAAAGGTCTCATCTCACACTAAATAGGCTACGAGCAACTGACAGGTGACACAAGCAACACTGAAAGGTGTCTCTACAGATGTTCTTATTACCAGTGCTCAAAGAAAATAACCTACTCTAAGTGGGATAAATAGATTGCCATAAAACAACATACTTAAATGAGACTATCAAATATAGTAGGTGTCAAGCAGCACCTGTTTAATATGCACACACAGTTCATATAAGCACACCAGCTCGAGCCACTGATTTTCATCACCTAATGAGCCGCACAAAGAAGACCCCACTTACAAAAATTATGGGCCTACTTCACAGTCTGAACAAGACTATGAGACGATGAGAACAGCTGCAGCAACTTGTGAGCGCCTCCACCTTAAATTGGCTTGGAGGCATAGGTTTAAGTTGTTGCCCTTCAAACATAACTGAAGATCTCCTTCTATTTAGTACCCCCAAAACCAGCTTATTACTTTATGTTCATTTAAAAATATATAAAGGAGGCTATCCTTAGAACGCAGGTATAATTTGGATATTAGCTGCTGATATTACCACAGATACACTGCAGAAACACAGAATACCAGAATCATTTGTCAGACAGCTTTAGTCTCTTGGCAGTAATGTTTGCTTTGAGTAAGCAAACAGAACAGAACAGCAGAAAGATGCATTTTACTCTTTGCACTGGACAGACACAAGGTTGAGACTGTTGCTTCTGGGACTGGCTGCTAAGTACAGCAATGACCTTTGTTTAGCATGTTTCCAAAACAAGCAGAAAGACAAAGTCAAGGTGACAAAACCACAGCAGAGTGTGGCTGGATTTACAGTAAAAGTCAATAAAGAGGACAGGGTGGTAAGACACAGATAATGACTGAGGTTGGTAGCTTTTGCATGACTGACTCAGCTGAGTGCAATCTTTGTAATGAGGAAAGCAGGTACTGATGCTGAGCACCAAATTATTTGTAGAGTAGAGGTGTCAGAATAAACAGAGTTCTTCTAATGGATTCAAAAAATAAAGAAATAAATCTTTTCGGTCTAATCATCTGCATGGCACCTCCAGCAGTCAAAAAATGATGAAAGTGATTGCACATCACTGCATCATCTCAGCTGCCATCTTCACGGTCGTTTTAACAAAATGCTAGCAAAAGTAATGAGTAAATCCTATCATCTATCTAAAATTCAAGCTCATATCCAGACCTTGAGTAACTTTTGACAACCTAAAGACATAACACATCTTGTCTTTGCTCTGCTCTGCTCCCACTCACACTGAGCCTGGAGAGGCCTTTGTCTGCAGGTGCAGGAATAGAGGGAAGACAGCCAGGTTATTTCCTCAGGCAGCAGAGCAGCAAGGGGCCATTACCTGACATGTACACCATTAGGGCCTCAAAAAAGAGTCCAGATGTTAAAATCAGAACCTGGACTCTATAATAAATTCAAAAACAGCCAACAACAGTCTCTTGTTACAGACTTGTAAGCAATTGTGTTTTATATCTCATTAACTAAACAATAAATAACTGTGTATTACAGCTCCCTGGCAAAGGTGAGGGCATGCACCATACATACCTGCACACAGAAGAGGTTTACTGCTACACAGTAACAGAGATGGGAATCCAGAACCGATTCCAGTTAAGAACCGGCTCCAAATTGACCAATCCATCAGAATCGTACGTAGTTCTGACATTCATTAACAAAGGGCATTCGGGTAGCAGCTTCTGTTTTAGCCGCTGCTGACTGTCGCTATTTCCAGTTAAAATGACAGCAGGGTCATTTAAGCTGACTTAAACTTATGATAGGCCAAAATGAAACTTGTTGGTGAAACAGACTTAATAATAACAATAATAATATTACTAATAATAAATACATTTAATCTATACGGCACCTTTCAAAAAACCCCAAGATCACCTTACAGCACAAGGTAATCATAACAGCAAAAGGAATTAAAATGAGGTGAAACAGAACAATGAAATAAATAGAATTAAAATAATACAAGACAATGGTGCACTGGAATTATAAAATGCCAACACAATGCACAAAACAGCAATATAAATACCCAGATGTCTCAATAAACCCTAAAAACAACAAAATATAAAAAACCCACAGTAGCACAATATCACAATTTATAATATCACATATAGCACTACATGGCACACTAGCACAGCAATAAATCCCAGTAAATCCCAAACCCAAGCTTAATGTTTTCCCTTTTAAAATTGACTACTGTAATATATTTTAACATGTTCAATTGTTAGGAAGACATTTTACATTGTGCTCAGACTCACAGATAATAAAGCAGTTGTGGTGATGCTTTAAACTTGCATAGGCCTAGATTTCTTCCACACAGAAAACTGATCAGGAATCACTGATTAGACTGTCAAGCCGAATTGATAACTGCACTGGTATCAATTAAATCTTATCAATTCCCATCCCTACACCCTAATCACCTCTAAAGGGTATCTGAGCAGTGGACATAACTGGCAATGCAACCATATTTTGAGACAATGACATTCCAGAATATGCCTTCTGCAAATGGGAAAGACATCCCCCGTGATACAGACAGACCTTTCACACACTAATAATGAGATTATTTGAACATGATTTTCAAAGGCAAAAAGTGACAACAAAAAAAAGCTCAACACTCAAGTAAGAGCTACACGAAAACCCAGTGTAAAACAAGAATGAAGAGTTCAGAGTTTAGAAAAGGTTATCGTGGGTAAGTAGGAAAAGCCAGGGGGAAAGACTAAGTCCTTCCCTAGCAACGTGTGCAGACATCCCTGACTGTTCCAGTGTTTGACTGGATTTCATTGACACAAATTGCTTGGGATCTAGTCATGACCTAGCCTTCTGGATAGTGCATTTTGTCCTGCTGCTCCAAGTGTTAATAGTGTAATTGAATTAGAGACCAAATGGATGAGACAAATCAAGGGCACTCTGTCATGTGGCTGTCCAGTGATCAATCACTGGTAAATCAAGTCACTAAATACTTCAGATTATGCTTCCTGCTGGGATTCCTCTGTTGATGGAGATAGCACTTGATGCTTCACTTGCTAGAAAACTTGCAGCTTGTGTTTTCCACAACTTATGGATGACACACCTGACAAAAAGGAACACAGCCCTTAACCTAACAAAAGGAAGATAGTGTATCATACACTGTTCCTTTGTTTCTCTGACCCACAAAACAATACAAAAAGTGAACCTTTGACCTAAAGTTGTGTGCATGTGTGTTATCCCTCAGTGCCTCAGCAGAACCATCAGTGATGTCAGTGACAGATACAGGCCTGATACCCAGTAGCATTACTCTTCGTAATCTTTGTTAATCCTGACGGAGGCTTTAGCTTCAGCCTGTAGCAGGAAGTGTTACTTTCACAGGTACATAGAGGTATCTCATGCAGAGGAAGATGGCTTGTAAACCATCAATCCAGACTGACTGGTTGGACCTGCCTACACAACATACTGTTAACAATCAATTCAGGAATTTCATCCCTGGCACTGCAACCCAGTTTAGAAGCCATATTGACATTTGCTTTAACTAAAGGAAATGAACCTGGCACACACTGGGAACTGGAGTGGAGTCCCAGTCTCAGGAGGGGGAAGCCTACTGTATATGGATTAAATCAGTGATCACTGGTAACCTAACACACAATGCTGCAGGGCATAACAATACTGACTAATTAGCAATGGTTGAATGCTTTTAATTTACTCACAGTGTGGACACTGTTACGTTTTCTGCACAATTACATTTTGCAGCAACTGAACAGTGCTGCAAATTTCACAGATCACCAGCTTCATACATGAGTGGACTGATTTCACATTTTCTTTTCCTAGAATAATTTCCTATAGCTCTGAGGTCTTTATCCTTCACTGCCCCCAGCTGCCTCCAAAAGGTCAACAGCAAAAAGCTACTTTCGAGGCACAACACTGAGACAAACCAAGGGTCAAAAGCCAAAGGTAATGAACTCAAGAGCTGAAGTCCAGTGTTTAAGCATGGTGCTGGACTCACTTTAAACCTTGGAGATGAATGAGACACATTATCAAAGGATCTCAAGCATTTAAGCTGTAAATTTTAACTGATACAATTGTCATTTCTTTATTTGTGACAGCTGTAACTAACCAGATGTAAAGTGCTCTTTTAGACAGGTCAGTGAGACATGAAACACAAATTCCAATGATGTCCATTTGTGGTACATTGCATGGCCCTAAATCTTTATGAGGACCTTTCTCTAATCATCCATAGCTTTGATTTACTGTATTTCTTCATTTGTATTTTCATTTTATTTTACTTTATATTGTTTAATATTGCATTACTGACATGCATTCACTGTGAAGGGCTACAGACGCTATCTTAGCCACTACTAACACAGCCATTTGGGGAAACCACTTTCAACTCATGAATAATTTGTTTCTCAGTCCAATCAATTTCCTCCAGCACAACAATCTGCCTCGAAGTCACAGCTGGCCACGCTGTACGCTGCAATAAACTAGAGAAATGTCAAGGAAATATGTTGGATGTTATAGTGCAAAAATTACACCTGAGCTGGTTTTTGGCAGACTTTGTTAAACTGGAGGGCCTAGACACTGGCTTCAAGGATTCTGGGGACAAAATGCAAAACTGCTACTAAATAATGCAAAAGCAATCACCAAAACTGACTTTACTATTTAGTATTTCTTAATTTTGACATGACAAATGAAAAAGGCAACTAAAACAACCAAAAAGCTGTTTAAAAATGCAGAATGTTTATATTTATGATAGTAAACAGTATCCCTATAATGTTTTGCGGCCCAGCACAAGGACTTAAAGGCATCCGCTGCAGTGTGCCTCTCTGCACCTCACTGCTCACCGAAACCAACGGAAGGGAAACACTAGAGCATAAAAATCATTTGAAAGGCACAAGGAAGGTGGTAAAATGAAGTGCTGTCCTGCTCACTGCACCATGTGAAGCAGCAGGCGAATAAACCGTCTGCTCCAACAGACACCAATCCACAATCCACTCTTTATTTCTGCACCCCTACAGTGAATAGTGATGCTCAGTCCTCCATGTAACCATACAAATCTCCTGTAAAACAAAACAGGTGCATCTTTTGTCTGACTGAGTGCGTGCTGATACCAGCCCAGAGAAGGGAGCCCTGGAAAAAACACACTATTAATTTTGACTGACTATTGTTTTCACTGTTTAATCCAGGGAACAGATTTTCCTTTGGCTCATTACAACATGTTGAACCTATGCACTATCATCTGACATGGAAAAAAACAAAAACAAAAGAAACAAAAAAAAAAACCTACCACTCATTTATAAATACAAGTGGTGCATGTATTGCACAAAACACAAAGACGCAATAATGTGATGTATCATAGTATTATTACAGTAGGTTACATTTTACAATAATGCAACAGCAAAACTATGGGTCTCGAAATAATATTGCAATTATAAAACACTAGATAAAAGACAATAAAGTGGGGTCACTGTTGAACAAAACAGGCTCACTAAAAGTGGTTAAATGAATACCAGAGAGATGTGGTAGCGATTTCTCTCCAATCAGCAGATGCAGTGTTTTACTGATCCATTACAGACTAGATTCTAACTACTACAGCATTGTTTCTGTTTAGCTGGCGGTCCTGATTAAGATGCTCTGCCTACACACATCCCTACCTTGCTTGAGGCACTTCTCACTTGAAGCTGAAACTCCGACCTTTCAATCCATTGAGGCTCTTATTTAACCCTCGTTTTGCAGACCAAATTCAACCACGCATTCCTTTCGCCTCAGGGACGAGCTGGGATTAAAAAAATACGACTTTTAAAATAAGAAGAAAGTGCTGAATAAAACGCAAGGGTTCACATTTTTTGTTCTCAATGCGTGCGTGGGTCATAAAATAAAAATAAAAAATTAATCCTCGACATCCATGGTGATTAGACGGCCTGAAAAATACTTTTTAGTATCAATGAAATCCATCAACCCAGTGCGCCTTCAGCAGCCCATTTAAAGTCCATTTAAACTTTCCACTCTTCGGCTTTTACGCCCGCAGTCTTCTCTGCCCAAACTTGCCAAAAGTACCTTTCATCATAAGTGAGTGTTTTAAATAAACTTCATAAATGTTTAAAAATGGCACTCGGTCGACGCAGTGCACATTTATCATCACACAGGAGCAAGTTAAAGCAGAAGGCCAGCACCCTGCACGCTTAGTGGGAGCCGTGTTGTTAACGTTCCCCTCGTGTCTCTCCTCCCACCACTGCCTCCCTCCTCCTCTACAGGCGCTGTCTGACCCCGTCAGGTCACAATGCTTCCTATTGCCGCTTTCAAAATAAAAACCCCAGCACAGATGCAACAGGAAGCACTGTATAAATCAATTGTTAAAAGTAGTATACATGCTGAAGCGGCCTGGCAATTAAGTCGAGCAATATAGAAGCCCATCAGTAGTTTTGGTGATTTAACAAAAACAGTTGTTCATATACATACAGCTTCTCACATTGTGTCAATTTTTTTTATTTTTTGATTGTTATGTTGGACAAAATCAGTTTACAGATGCCATTTTATGGCACACACTATTACTTTTTAGGAGGATTCATTTAGACTTTCCAACTTATTTATATATATTAAGATTCTACTGGGTCTGAAGTACTGTAAATTAATTCTTTCATGTACCATGATGGAATGACAATAAATAAACGTTTGACCTTTGACCAATCATCAATTGATAAGTAATCAACAGAAGAAATTTTCAAATGTCACTCCAAGAAAACCACAGGTGTAAATACTAAACTTGTCAATCCAATTTCAGGGTGCTGGTTTTGCTCACGGTGGCTCACTGTCATGCTGTTGCAGTTTATTGAAACATATGAGCAAAATGGACCCACCATTAATGTTAACAATAACACCTGCGTTTTGTATAGATGAATAAAACGTAGTGGAAATAAATAAATTTTAAAAATGTCATGTTTTTCATACCTACTCTTCACATTCAGAAACCTTTTCAACGTCAAATGTGACATACAGGCCTAGTGGTGACAATAACAATACCAAGATAAGATTTAAACCAAAGGCAACATTTTTTTAAAAGTCCCAACATGTCAGTTTGTAACTAGGGCTGCATGAGAAAAATCTTTTATGTTGAAGGAAAATGTATGACTTCCGGTAGAGTGCCACCTTTCTCGGTGTGCCTTGACGCTGCTGGTGTTTTAGCGCCACAAACAAAAGCACGTTTCCAAAAAAAAAAACTCATAACAAAAGGCAAACGCACACCCAAAGGACACTGTGGATTCAGAGCCGATTGGTACAATATCCAGAAAATAAACAATAAACACACCCTCCAATGTCCAGTGAAGTCTTTCCACTGTGAAAAATAGAAAACGGTGTGAAAAATGGTGATCGCCTATAATTCAAATATTTTGCTGGATTTTGGTAACACACACACTAACAGCATCACTTAAACCGCTCAAGAACTGTTCATAACTTTCCAATAAAAACGAATGCGTGTAATCAATACACATACATAACCAAGCATATCATACCTTGTAGTAAGTGTTATATCCACGATAGCCTAACGCTACAAAAAGCATATTAGTAACTGTTTTATTATGAGGAGGGTTATGTTTGCCTACCAAGTTAACTGGTTAATTATAAAAACTGACCAACCATACAAACAACAGAGCGGCGGTAAAGTTGGAATAACAAGGTCACTTTGCAGCACTGTAAACTGTTATGTATTTAACAACTTAACCGGCACAAATCACCAAACTTTGACAAGTGGCAACACTTTCTTAAGAACCAACTGTAATATCTAATGAAATATTTTACCCCGAATGCCAGTAAAATGTTAACTTATGTTAGATGACAAACATCTGTTAACCCAATAACGTTAGCCCGCCCATGCACCGCGCTAAACGTTGGCCTTTCCCTCAACATTAGCTAGCAGGGTACCGCTCACATTAGCTAGCAGGGTACCGCTCACATTAGCTAGCTAGCTAACGTACGCTATTACTCTATTCATAAAGTGCACTTTACCTATTAATTATACATGTATTACTATATACTTAAAACTGCTCTAACGCCAGCTATGCTATTTTAACTTAATGGTTTGGTTTAGAACACAACTTAGCACAAGTTAGTTTTAATAGCGAACCATGCTTACTAGTTACAACACAGAGATCCTTCGACTTGTGTTTCCTGGGGGCACTTTGGTCAAGTTCCATTTTAACATTATATCCGAACGTATTTTATGAAAAAAGAATTTAAAAAAAAGTTCACCCATTTTAAAAATGCCACAGTTCTGTCATTTTACTGGTAAAGATTTTAATGGCCTTACCTCAGAACCACTTCATTTGATATCCTAAATTGAGCTCGCTCTTAAGCTAAGATGACCAAATCTACTGGCGTTATCTTAACCCTACCGTTCAAAGCAATCCAGAGGCAGTGTGTCACAGCGCCATGTCGCCACAGGGGGGCGCACTTAGTCCGTGAACGACGGCGATTGATCCTGTCCATCCATGGGTCCGTGACAGTGTCTATCAGTAAGAAGGGTTAATAGCAGGCCTAGTAACTCTTCTAGTGACAGAATCACAGAAAATATATGCTGGGCATGATTTAGCACTAGGGATATGTATTGATAGTTTACAGTGGTTTTGCCTTGATGACTTGTTGTGACATCAAAGTTAGAAAATAATTTGACGTCAACTACGGAGACTGTTAAAACTCCTGTATTAGAATATTACTCTACACTTTTGTTTCTGCTCAACAGCTCGCTTCCTTAACATTTTCATTAAGTTTTATGATTTTAATGTAAATTGATTTAACAGTAATTCTTGTAGAGCACTGTCTGCCTGCCACTCAAGTAATAATTTATGTCTAAAATCGAGGGTTATTAGAAAGCATACATTAAGCTATAAAAATATTGGGATTGTTCAACTGCTGAGACAAACTCTGCCTTTTGTAAGTAATATTGTTTGTGTTTCCTGTAGCCTTTAAAACTGTTTCTGAGCTTATGTAAAGTGTTTGATCTGATCTAATACCAGGTTTGTGGTTGGTGGCTGACTGAGTGGGCACATTTGGGTGCAAGAAAAACAAAGATAACACAAGCAGCTGTCTGTGATCGCTGGTTGCCAATCATCTGAAAGCATTACACTAGTGCAACCTTTACTGGTAATGCATTTTACATATATTATCCTGAAAAGGAAATGGAGGTGATAGCCTTTCCTTTCATGAGCACCCCTTCCATTTATGTTGTCAGGTCTTAAATGTGCGTACTTGACTCCCACAGGCCAGGTGCACCATATGGAGTTCAAAGGATTGGCATTAATCACATGAAATCCTCCCAGAAAGAACAACTCGCACAGTATGGAAGAATTATTGGCAGGGAAAGGCAAACTGTGTTGTTCGGTATACTGATCATATTGTGAACCAACCAATAAACAATAAACATCCTTTTATTAAAATCATTTTTATGCCAGACAAGATATGCATTTTATATCACTTAGCCAAGTCTGTTCAGGTTGAGATTTAGCACATTGTCATCAAAACTGTGATGCAAATCTATTTATCTACTTTATTCTACTGTATCTACTTATCTTATTTATCTACTTTAAACGTCGTCCACAGTTATCAGCCATATTGTGTTCTATTGTTGACCAACTAAGAGTTAAGTTATAAGACAATGTTTCTATTAAATAGGCCATAATCTGACACTTTAAATTTTACTTTAATTAAATGAGTATGATTAAATAGTGCCAATATCATCTATCTAAATAATAAAATAACATTATATAAATAAAAAAGCACTACTGAATCACTTAATGAATTCAACAAGCTAACAAAACAAATGTACAATATTCTGTATCAATAGCTTAAATTGAGCACAGCCAATACAGTAGGAGTACATGTTAGCACACCGAGCTATGGTGTGGGTCAGTGGCTCAGTCATCAAAGTCTGGGATATCATCATAGGAGTACCCTGGGTATCCCTTTGATGCATAGTAAGCTATCCGTAGGTGGTAAAATCCAGGCAGGAAGACAAGGATCCCGATGATGAGGACAGGCACAGTTCGGTCTGAGTGCTACAAGGGAGAAAACAGTTCAGACATTTATTCAATTAAGATACACACACAGTTTGCTGTGTTGTTAAAAAGGAAAGCCACTCTATGATTAAAAAAAATATACTCACAGTGACTCCAAAGTATCCAGCCAGGAGAAGGGCACCAATGATGATTAGCACAGAGCCGATAAGGAAGAGCACTGTGGCTAGCGCTATGGCTTTGTATGGGACTTTGGGTGGGTTCCTTTTGAACTGTAAAAGAGGATGAATATTTTAAAACAGTTTTCTGTGATGCAGCAGGCAAGGCCAGATTAACGCAAGGCCTAACCTGGGCTGAAGCCCAGGGCCCCAAATTTTAGGTTTGGTCAAATACAGTATTTAAAGTATAAATGCTCCCTTCTATTAACTATTAACTAGCTATGAGCTAATTTGTTTATTTTCCTCTCTGTCTCGATGTTAGTTCACTTTGGTTGGTGTACGGGTATCCAGTGGGAGGGCTGTAAACTGTCAGAAGTCAGCTGTCAGTCCCGTCAATCATCATCATTTATCTAAACATCACAATGTTTAGATGACTGATAAAAGAAGCAGTCCTCTTCTTTGCTTGCCGCCTGTTTGGTGATGCACACAGTTGTCAAAGGTTAAGGATAATCACTTTATTTGGCCAAGTATGTTATATGCACCCCCGCCTTTCGCCCAATGCCAGCTGGGACTGGCTCCAGCCCCACCGTGACCCTGTTCGGGACTACGTGGTATAGAAAATGAGATGAGATGAGATGTTATACACACAAGGAATCTGTCTCCAGTCACGAAGCAAGGCAGCCATGTGCAGTGCCAACTCACACCGATGGCAGCCCTGTACATGCTGAGAGCAATTTGGGGTTCAGTGTCTTGCCTAAGGACACTCCAACATGTGGGCTGCCGGCATCATGATTTGAACCCCCAAACCTCCGGTTGGGAGACAACCACTTCACCCCCTGAGCCACAGACTCAGACTCTACCTCCAAAGACCAATTAGCGGAGCACGAAAACAGCAATTGTCACAGAAAGGCCATTACGTGTTACATTAAAGTCACAGATGATGGACAACTTGACAAAGAGTTGAAAAAACTATTAGAATCAGAACGTAGTCACATACTGGACTGAAGTTTTGAACAGAGTGATGGCAGTCGTGACATTTTTGCTGAACATGGACTGGCTTTCTGAACTACATGGATAACTATATGAGAATATTAAAACTGATCAGTGAGTTTGAAAAGAAATGAAAACATCTTCTAAAAGGTAAAAGGCAGCTAAGTAGATTGTTGTTGTTTTTTACTGGCCTATATAAGAATTGCTATAGTGTGCACACTCAAGATGAGCTCATGAAGCCAAAGTCAGTTATTCACATATCCTTCTTTAGGTAGGGCCCCCTGCCATCCTTAATCCAGCCCTGGCAGCAGGGTTGTTGGTTTTTTTTTTAAATAGCAATCCCACTCAAGTCCTGACCTGCGTGGGCAAAATTAGTCTGGCTCATAATGTACTGGAACGCCCTGTGCACTTTCTATCAGTGAAACATGACTATCAGAGCCACACAAGTGTTGTGTTGCATTAAATATCTGAAGATGTAAGAGTTATCTATTGCCTTCCTTGCAACTATGTTATTTGCACTGATGTGAAGGGTAAACCCATACACACAAATGATAATTTAGTTAAGATATGCATTATTCGGACAAAATACATAGACTACAGTGTCTTCTTTGACTTTAAAGGGACTTCTTTGTGTGTGACAAAATAACCTTGATGATGTCATTTAGGTTATCTCAGCTTTGACATGGTGACTTCAACTTTCTATCAGTAAAATGTGTTACGAGCTGGGAGCACAGAGTTTGAAAGATGTACATCTAGGTGCCTTGTGGGAAATGTAGTATCAAGTGTTTTTGGAGTCTGACCCCTACTAGGCACAAAAAAGTCGGGAAACGTCTGCCTCTGGTGCTTCGACTTTGGCCATTCTTTTAAAGTCAGATCCTCACAGGTCCTCCCAGTGTTGTGAACGTGCAATACTAAATCACTGTAGTGCGTCTTTAAGTTCATTATGTTTCAGTCCAGTGAATAAGTGGGTGAAATGTGACTTTATGACGCGATCTTACAATAGCGGGTTAACCCAACATTATGAAAACTGTCTTACCTGTAGGTCAATGTAGCCGTCATCGTCAGAGGCTAACCTGGAGTACTTAACTTTGCTGCTAGGAATCGCGCTGGACACAACGTTACGAGCAGGCATCTTCTCCAGCTGCTCATGTAGGAGCTTTCTAACAGTTTGCTTTCAGTGTTTCAACGAAGCAAAGAGCAGCTCGGCTACAAAACCATTAACCACACTACGAGCATTACCCGGATACACTCTCAGGTAAAGTGAAATATTACACTCGATATGATGTAGAGCCCTTGTGATTTGATAAAACTATTCTAAGGACGACATTAACGCGAGGTGTTGCCCATGGTAAGGTTCTTCTAACATGGCATTTCCGTGTTTTTCTGCTTTGCGCTTGCGCAGATCGAAGTGTCAGTATTGATTGGGTGTGATAGAAATCTCACTTCAACTCGCCATTTCAAATGTACACATTATGTGTGCTATGCAAGATCAAAATATATTATACAATCAAAATTAATATAATAATAATAATACTAAAGTATACAATCAAAATTGTCAAACGTACTTTATTATGATACATTGTTTTTCTGCACAACTCCATTTTTGCCACACGAGGGCGCCGTCGAGCCTTATTTAACAAAAAGACCAGGTGACAGTGAGCTGCAGATTGAACCTGGTGTCAAGATTCATCTCCTTGTGTGGATGTTCATTTCCTGAGCTGTTCTCTCAGACCAGCTTTTTAATCACACTGTGATCTCAGAAGATAAAGTTTCTGTCTATGCTGCAGATTTCTGAAACCATGGAACAGAAGCTGAGCCATTCTGACGGCTGTTTTTAGCCACAGAGGTACAATCTAGTGTTTCGTTCACAATATTTATTTCACATGCTTTCATGGCAATTTTTCTAAATAGAAAATGTGAGCATTGCCAGAGTTCACTAGCTGAAGTCACATACATAATGTACTTTTTCCATAAATTATACATAATGAATTTCCTAGATTTCCATTATCCACCAAGTGAAGTTAAAGTCATGATTCAATAATAATAATAATAATTATTATAGCATTTAACAGTTTAATACTTAAAATTTAAAATGAAATCTCAGAGTTTTAACTACAGGAGAATGATTTTCAATTTCTTTGTATACCAAGTTATCTCTGCCAGGTTCTGTCATCTCTTTGGTCATGCACAGCAATAACCTGGCTTGTAAATGACCGGCTGTGAATTAGACAAAGCACACAAAAGGCAACATTTGCTGATAATTCCCCAGATGTGAATAATTAAAGCTGTTGTGGGAGGTATATTGTCTTCTTTCCCTTTTTTTTCCCAAACTGTTTTTCACATTCCCCTGCTGGTCTGTGGAAAATTGGACTGTCGCACAGACAAATATAGATTCTCCCTTAGGCAGAATTCAGATAGCTGCCTGGCCATGAAGCTACACAACAGTGGATTATTATGATTCCATCTTCTTGGCAGAGCCGTATGTTCTGCATTCAAGGATAAATGTCCACAGGTAGGAACAGCTCTTTCCACGAGCAGTAATAATAAAGTAAATACATAGTCTTTTTAGCTGTGCTCATAGCATCAGTAATACACTGCTGTTGCCTCTAAAGTGGGCTACATGTTAGCAGGGAATGAATCTCATCTGATCATTAGTATGCCCAGTGACCTTGACTGCAAGTCGCATTGTTCTAGTTTAAGGCCATACTATTGCTCTCTGGAGGGATATAAGCCCTAAAATCATTCATTAGTGTTTCATATGCTTGTTGTTTTTCACTGAATCATCATGCATTACACTGCACTGAGTACTTGCGTTCAATTTTATGATGCATATTTGAAAACATGTCCAAGCCTGTACAAGAAATAAAGTCTATAAATCTGCCATGCGTACAACTGGACTTTATCATTGTATTAGGGAATGAAACAAATGTATATTCTCTTTTTATGACCACTTTAAAATGCATCACTATTGGAATTTGCAGTGTATAGATGTGGGGTGCCTATACCTCCCATATATTCTATGTCCTCTCATCCTTTTTATACAAAAGAAAACCATTAATATAAGCCTGCTGAAGTAACTAAATATGTGGATATCTTACGTGTGCATGCTGCAATCTTCACTGTACTTGTTAGTTAGTGACAATAACAGGAGTAAACCTCACCTTTTCCTTTATTGCTGATGCCAGCTTCTTACTAATATCTCACTATACTGTGTGACTGTGCTCATTAGCCAACACTAAGGCTGCGTCACTGTTGCGTGTTCCTCTGTCTGCCAAATATTCCCCTATTTCTTATCTGTCCTGTATCCTCACGTAAATGTTCAGTACCTACACTTAGCGTCATTGCACAAGCTGTTTACCCTTCCTCAGTCTGAATTTAGAAATGACTTTTAATTTATCTGCTCCACAGCCTTGATACAATCTACAAGGCTGGATAAATCTGCAGTCGCTTTACATTCATAAATTCAAAATGAATGCGCTCAGAAACACACCACTGATGGAGTCATTTATCTGAAGGTAATCCTGGTGCCTCATAAGACATTACTTCACGCATTATCTAGGTGAGTGTCTTTTTTGCTGAAATACACATGAATTCAAAGAGTTCATTCAGATTTCCCTGTAAAATAAGGCAGTGCACTTCACTGTACAAATAACAATGCAGCTCAAGTGACATCTGGAGTTGTGATTAATTCATCAGATGATAGGCAAGCCTGTCACCAATCAGAGGGGGGCACAGTGTGTTGTCATGTTAGATAATCCCTGCCACCAGACCACACTGACTGCACAGAGGAGCACCAGAACAGCTATGCACACTGAGCCCTAAAGGCGTGCGTGTGTGTGTGTGTGTGTGTGTGTGTTTGTAAGTCTGTGTGGTAAGAAGACAGCAGCAGTCACCTCCTTGTAACCCCAGGGTATGACATTGAACATTAAGGGAAGAGCATTTAGGCCATAATTAGAGTCCTGTTTATACTGAAGTTCCGTTTGCAGAGATAATTAGGTCTGTCTTCATTACAGCAATTGCAGATAGCACGACGACTGGAAACCAGTAGAAGGCCCAACTATTTATACCATCATGCAATCCTCTTGTAGCTCAGCTTTTTTAACTTTTAAAAGCCCCAGGTTCCAGAAATGATCAAATGTGGCATGTGGGTGGCGCACATGTGCTGCTCAGCAACAAGCTTTTCAAGAACTGAAATAAGTTAACAGAGACTAATATCATTTATAATTTTAGACTCATTAAGCCACATGTGGAGGAAATTAAGGATTGAGTGGAACTGTGGTTTTACTTGTATGTGTGCTCATTTATTGAACATCTGATGAACAATGATATGTGTAGGTGGAATGTGGGCATTGATAACGTACAGGAAGAGGTTCCTCTCTGTATTTATTATTAACCACGCTAGCATCACGACTCAATGGAAGGCAGAGTCTCTAAAATAGTACTCACAATCCCTTCAGCTCCAACTATACTTTGTGATTAGTGCTAGTTAGCAAATGTTAGCATGCAGACACACTAAACTAAGATGGTGGACATGGTAAACATTACACCTGCTAAACACTGACATGTTATTGCAGTTAGCAGGTGAATGGAAGTCTTGTTACTAACTTACCTTTATCACAGCCACCACATTGCCCAAATAATATCAAGCTGATCCATCCTTCCATCCATTATCTATTCCATTTGTCCTGCAGAGGGTCACAGGGGTGCTGGAGCCAATCCCAGCTAACACTGGGTGAGAGGTGGGGTCCACACCGGGCAGGTCGCCAATATATCACAGGGCTGACATATAGACAAACAACCACATGCACTCACACTCACTCCTACGGGCAATTTAGAGTCTCCAGTCAACCTAAACCGCATGTCTTTGGACCGTGGGAGGAAGCTGTGCCACCATGCAGCCCTATCAAGCTGATGTAATAAAATGAACTTTTTAATGAGTTATGTTTTATTTTTAGGTGAGACTCTATAATATCTGTCCAGGGACTAAAGATGAAAAATAGCCTTTTGGCAGATTCTGGTGCATTTACAGTAATGTTTATTAATGTACACTGTCCCTGTTAAATAAACAGTTAAAGCAGTTTTTCATTAAACACAAACACTGACTGACTCCTAATCTGATTGCATAACCAACCATATCAGATTCATGTAAATGATTGAGGACAATACAGAGGACCTTGACAACTTTGATTGAACCACATTATATTTTTTCATCACTGAAGACTAGATGTACTTTTCATGCCAAACATAATGATGATGCGATGTATAATACTTTGCTCAGACCATTGCAGGTACTGCATATCAAGACAGTTACAGCAAGTTACAAAAATAAGTCTTCTAATTCTGTCCCTTGCTACGTGAATCAGGTGGGTTTTCTTCTTCTTCTTCTTCTTCTTCTTCTTCTTCTTCTTCTTCTTCTTCTTCTTCTTTAATCTTTCAGCATTTCAGGTGTTAGGCTCAGGTTGGCTGCAACAGTGTGTGGGTGGACAGCTAACTGCTGCAGGGCACTCCACATGAAGAGCTTCATCAACATGATGACCAAGTCTATTGCCTTTATTTCATGATGTCAAAATAGTTTCGCCCTTCAGCTTATAAAAAAACCCAGAGCGGCTCAGTGGCTTGGAGAAAATGATTACGATATGACAGATAAAGTAGCTGTTTCCATTTTGGTTATGCGTGCAAAATGCTAAGCATTTTCTGTTTTGTTTGAAAGCTGTGTAGGCTACAGTACCATTTCACGGTTGCACGAACAAATCCGCGCCCTGCAGCACAGTGTTCGCTGTTTGCATTTACCTGCTTTATTTGGGGAGGGGGTCTTGCAATTAAGACGAATGTCACTGTAAATGCCAACATTAGTGTGAATAGTTGGCTCAGGTTTGTTGTCTCACTGATGGGAAATGTTTCTTCCAGTGCAGATATTGATTTCAGTATCTTTTGAACTCAGCAGCCCGCCTCACTGCATGGGTGGCTCAGACACGAAATTGCTTTTCCAACTGGTCTTAGACTTGGATCGAGTGATAGACCTTAAACAAATGCAAATGCAGAGAAATCAGCAAGCACGGGAGAAACACATAGGTGTCATTTCACTGCCTAATTGTTTTATAACAGTTTTTAAAGCTTAGGATTAGGTCATTGACTTGTTTTAATGCTTTTATAATTACCCCAAAATTGATCTGTTGTTGCAGTAAATATTTTAAAAGTGTCACTGTCTGTGTCAGTGTGAGGCAATCATGCGTGCATGCAATAATGAACCATAATCCCTCTAAATGTTAGGATAATTGTCATCTAAATTGCTGTGGAAATCATTTTAAAAGACACTCCATTTGTGACATTTCCTTTTATTTAAAAAAATATCTATTTATTGTGCACACAAAATATTTATGTGACTCAGTGCCT